TTACCTGTAGCCAAGTTCCAATGGGGCAGGCTGGGCTCCAAGCCAGACTGACAACTATTATTATTACAGTTGTTGTTGTTATTGTCCTTACATTCTTATCGTGCCCCCCGGTTAAATGTGCTTCCAAATGCTAGCTCTCATTCGATCTTATAACAAGCCTGTGAGTTGGGTAGAGTGGGCTTATCATACCCATTTTATCGGTGAAGAAACTGAGCGTCAAAACACTTAAGCTATTAAACAGCAAAGAAGGGACTGGAACTGCAGGCTCTGGGTTCACCCATTCGTACCTGCACATTCTCTGGTTGGGGTTACTCCCCAGTCCCGTGAATTCAGGGTTAGTCCGGCTCATCTCCTCTCCAAGGTTAATCAGACTCTGGGCCACAGGCTGAGGGAAGTGGGAGGCCTGTTATGCTGGGTGCCTGTAGCTCTCCTACTTATCTGCTGCCTGCCTACTCCACCCTTCCTCCTCCACCTCCTCCAGTGTGCAGAAAAGTCACTTCCTGAGCGTTACTCCAACAGGCAGCTTTGTGGTGCCATGGGGTGAATGAATTGCCATGATTCTGATTTGCATTCTTCTCTGGTATGTGAAGGCAGACGAATGTGGAAACCTCTCTCTGTCTATCCTCCTTCAATTCCATTTGGCCAAGCAGGGGATGAAGGGAGCAGAGATGGGGGAGGAATAGGGTCCAGGTGTACTTGTCAAGCTTGGTGGGTGCAGCTGGAACCCTGACCCTCGGCAATGTGGGAGGCAGTTTGTTGAACAGTTGCTGAGCAGGTGATAATGCTGTGAGAAACAGTTTTTTTTTTCCTTATGATCAAGGAATCCACTAAGAAAAGGCAGGAAGAGGGAAGATAGGAGAGGGCCAGCCATACACGCACAAAAAAGCAATAGGAAGCATTCCATGTACTCATTTTTATTTTATTTTTAATGAGACACTCATACTTTAGAAATAAAAAAGAGCATGATCATCTTATGATTAAAATAAAATGACTCAAATGATGGAGAATATATAGTTCAGGTTTGTTTTTATTGTGGTGAGTGTGTATATATATATATATATATATAAACAAAAAATTGCCACGTCAACATTTTTTGCATGCACAATTCAATGACATTAATTACATTCACCATGTTGTACAACCAGCACCACTATCCATTTCCAAGTTTTTCCATCAGTGCCCTCCAAGCAATGATTCTCTCTCCCTTCCTTCCTTCTACCCCTGGTAACCCTAATAGACTTCGGTCAAACAAAGGTATCCAGGCCTAGAAAGTCAGATAGTCCCTGGTTGGGCCTGTCATTCAACAATACCCAGCACTGAAAGCATGCTTAATCCTTCTTGCTCACTTCCAAGTTTTGGATACTTTTTTCTTATATAAACTGTCTGTTCCTATCATTTCCCTATTTTTCTATTGTATTGTTCATTTTTTTCTTCCTGATTTTTAAGAGTTCTTTACATATCAGGGTGGAGCCCTGGTGGCTCAGCGGTTAAGAACTCGGCTGCTAACCAAAAGGCTGGCAGTTCAAATCCACCAGCCACTCCTTGGAACCCCTATGGAACAGTTCTACTCTGTCCTATAGGGTCTCTATGAGTTGGAATAGACTTGAAGGCAACGGGTTTAGTTTTTTTGGTTTTTACGTATTAGGGAGGTTAACCATTTGCCTATAATGTAAGTTGCACATATTTTTTTTTTCCCAGTTTGAAGTTTTTCTCTTGACTTAATTTTTTTTCCTTCTTTTTTCAGAGGAGAACTTTTTTTCATGGAGCATAATTTATGTCTTTTATTTTATGGCTTCTGGACTTTAAGTCCAGAAAAATTAACCCTTTAACTCAGAAATCAAAGAAAATTTTGTTATTTTAACAGCTAGAAACCCAATTCTTTGTTTTATATGCTACTTAACATTAAAACTCCTAAAAATCTCATAAATTAAATCATTAAACTTTAGTCAGATAAAACTTGACCATAGCAAATAAATTTCTTTTTCAATAGACCTCTTAAACGTAGTCTTTGTTGCATACTTCTTACAGTGCATCCCTTTAAATGACAAAAATGAACACTCATTAGCAGGCTTAAATATATCTGTCTATCCTTTCTCTTGTGGCATAAAAAGTCAAAGTATGTAAGCTTAAGTTATAACAAATATCTATTAACTCAATTTAACATCAGTAAGTTACCTAAAATGTATTAGGAATTATTTTAAGCCTGTATACCATAAAACATAACTGTTGTTGAAAGAAAGTCTGTTTAAATATTCCAAGTTTTTATTCAACTTTTACTATTTCTCATTTTTTTCCCAACTTAATTTTTAGCGCTTAATGATTTTATTAACTGGCTTTGGAAATCACAAAGTCTCTTTTTAATTGACCAATTCACTGATATGGATATAACTTTAAGCCTCTGACTACAGCTGCAAACATTTTTCCAGGCCATTTTAGGTGTGTCTTATTGTGATTTCTATTGTTTGACTTCTTAGATTTCCCCTATAATAGAGAGAACTTGTTTACAGTTCTATTATCAGGATCCACTCAATTTCTGATAACTACAGCAAAGCAGCAATTTTTCTTATCTTTTGTCTTGAAAGAGTCTCCACCTAGCTGGAAAGGGTCTTTCAAAAGCTTCCCTTGAGCTAATACATTTACATATGTTTACGTTGATGGAGGTATTTTGAAAGGCTATCTACCCAGTAAATACCAAAGCTCTTTCAGAAAAAAAGGAGGTAGAAAGACTGCATAAACTCACCAGACAATACCATACAAAAAAGGATATGTGGATCCTAGTTTCTTAAAGTGTACATAACAATTTTTTTGGTAAGATCAAATCAATTCAATGGAAAAGAACAGGTTCTAGATAAAACTTATTAACTTGCTGGAGCCTCAGGTGGTGGAATATTAGACCTCTTGACAAAACCTGAGCATCAAGCAAAGTTCCCTAAAGGAAAAAACGGACAACACAAATGAAAGCTCATTTTCCCAAAGTGGCCGTTGAAATTCTAAGTTACTTCTAGTATACTCAGTTTATAGTGTTTTTAAACATGAACCCCAAACCAGTGAATCAGTAGTAGGGGGGAAATCTGGGCTCATTTATCAACGATGTTAAGCGATAAGGTTCAAGCTTTTGGTTTCCTTCTTTCTGAAGCTTTCTCTCAAGAGCCGAATGAGGGCGCCCAAGCAGATGGTATAATACTAGTTACACACAGACATTGGATGGGACAGACACAGAACCACAGTAAACAAATGGACAGGACAGACACAAAACCACAGTAAACGAATAAATCCCGCAAGCTGACAGAGGTGATCTCGAACCCTTCAACCTCTCAGACAGCCCTATCTGCAGACAGAGGTGATCTTAGAGAATCTCAACCTCCCAGACACGCTCACGAGAAATCCCACAAGCTGACGGAGGTGATCTTGACTGCTTCAACCTCTCAGATGGCCCTGTCTGCCGACAGAGATGATCTTAGAGAATCTCAACCCCCAGACACACAAGCATTCACACACCCAGAACTAGGACTCTAGAGTCACCAGGAGTCCCTACTTGTTAGCCTACTCATGGGGACGGTCATCTGGGGTGCCCTTCGCCCCAGAAACCAAGGGCTTAGGTTCCGCTATGGAAACCTTGGGCCTGCCTTATCCGCCCCGGCCCTGAGCACAACAGGGAGAGGAGTCGCGGACTCACCTTGTGATCTCCCTTGCGCAGGTCTTGCTTTTCTCTCACCCACCTCTTTTGGAAGGGTTGGGGACGAGCGGTTCTGTGACAGACCCAGGTCTGGCCGATAGTCTCCCTAGAGGCAAATGAAACCTCTCGTGGCTGCTTGTCGGGAGAGCCTGTTGATCAGCCCCAGGCCCTGCCCCGGGGCCACTGCGTCTCAAGAGGCTGGAGTTCCCTGTACGGGCCACCAGATTTGTTACTGCAATAATGCAGATTGGAGCCACCTGCCACAATAGCCAATTCTGAGACAGGGGTGAGGTGAACAGTAAGAGGTTTATTATAGATCGATATGTAGGAGACAGAGGGGACTAGATGCCTCCAAAAAACCCATCTCCCCCACTGGGGATCGGCTGAAGGCTTTTATAGGGACAGGATTATGGGTCTTAGAAGTCTGTGTTAGTTCCCCCTTGAGGTGGTCATGTCTCGGATGAATTAATCTTCTACTGGTATTCCTGGGGATTATCTGGCGACATCCCGGTTTTCTTGTCCCAAGATGGGTGCTTTGTTCGGTTTTTCATCCTTAGATCATTATCACTTGTTTTCCACCCTCCAAGGAGGAACATCGGTTAATCTTAAGCCTTTTGTAGACACTGGAACGGGAGGGAGAAACAAGATCATGAGACGATGTGGGGGTCAGCAATGGGGAGGAATAATAGTGAGCCGGGCCTGTGCAGCCTCTTCCAGGAACACAAAACAACAGCAGCAACAACAACAAAAAATAAACAACACAATTGGAAAAAAATTCCTTTAGAATTCCTTTAGAATGCATTAAGTGTGCCTTGCTCTTCAATAGCTCTTATTTAGCTTTATCTAGATGGAAAACAAGAACAATGAAGCCTGGGCCCGGTTTCTTATTTAGCTTTATCTAAATGGGTTGCGCAACATGATGGAAACCATCAGTTCTTGGTACTTGCCCTGAGGCAGAGAAAAATCAGTCTGGAGTCTTCGGTTTCTATTGTCCCCAACTCAGATTGGATTTACCTTTATCCTGTGGAAGTAGTAGGAAAGGCACTTCAGAAACGGCTGGGCACCTTGACCTCAACCCGTTCCCATCGAGCCAATTCCAACTTATAGGGACCCTACAGGACAGAGCAGAACTGCCCCACATGGTTTCCAAGGAGTGGCAGGTGGATTCGAACTGCCGACCTTTGGTTAGCAGCCAGCCTCTTAACTACTGTGCCACCAGTGCTCCACCTAGACCTCAAGATGGTGATAATCCAATTCAGACCATACTTGTATCCATTCTCCAGTAAGTCATCCACACTACTCTTAGTATTTGATCATCTATTAGTTACAGGTGCTGACCCTGCCATCAAGGAGCCAGCAGCCCACCTGAGGGAGGATGGAGCATCATGGAGTATTGTAGGAAGTGCCTGACAGAGGGAAGCACTGAAGAGGTGAGCGGGCACACAGGATGGGCAGCCCAGTCTGGGGAGGAGAGGGGAGATTTCTGAAGTTGGTGCTTGAACTGAGTTATAAAAGTTAAGTAGGAGTGAGCCAGAAAAGAAGAAAAGGAAGGGCATTCCAGGCAATGGAACAGCTTTGTCAAAGGCACAGGCACACGATGTGCTCTGGGAACTATAAATTCTAGCAATCAGAATGAAGGGGCAAGGAAAGAGCTGATGAGAGACCAGGCTGAAGAGGTAAACAAAGACTGAATTGTAAATGGTTGTAAAGGGCAGTGGGGGCCATTACAAGGTTTTAAATAGGGGAGTGAAAGGAACTGATTTAATGCCCTGTGGCCCGGTATTGGGAGTGCAGACTAACTGAGGGTATAGGCTCCAGGAGAAGGTGTGGGTGCTTCACAGGGCTGCTCTAAGTCATCACACTGAAACCAACTGCAGAGGCTGAGGACAGCCTTTTACCTCCACCAAGTTCCAAGCTCAGCTTGCCTCTAGTGGCAGGTCTCCCTGGAAAACCTTGCATTTTCTGGAAAAGTCAGCCCTGTCCCAAGCCCTTGCCAGAAAAGGCAGGAGGCTCAGATTCATGCCCTGTGGAAAATTCCCCCTTGGGGGCTACAGGAAAGACATAAAAGACATCTTTCTGGTGTCCAAGGAGAGAAGTCCTTTGGGTAGAAATTGATTAGAGGAAGGAACCCCCTCACCCCACCATGAGGAGGGGCCCCAAAACCCAGGCGAGACAAGAGGGTCAGGAGCTCCAGGACAAATGTCACTACTTGTGCCATTTTTTTCCCTAAAAAAACTAAACAAAGCAACTGCGTTCGGTGGCCCCTCAGGAAGACCAGTCATTTCCTGAGGAACTATCAGGCCAGCCCAGGCCTCATTGTTCCTGGTTTCCAGCAATGGCCGCCGCTACCTGACCAGCGCCCCGGCCAGGTCTCTCTGCAGGTGCCAGGAGAAGTTGCCAGAGTGGTTTCTGCTTTGCATAGGGCAAGTTTCTCATCTGTGGGAAGTGTCTTCTGCCCCAGAGGCATGGCTCAAAGGCAGAACTAACCATCCTGGCTGTTGAAGCTCTTACAGTGCAGCTGAGGTGGCCCCACCGGGACAAGATGTGGCTTGGGGTCCTGCTGACACTTTTGTTCTGTGAGTTTTTATTCTCTTCCCTCCTCACTTAAACTTCGTGAGAATTGAAGCTTCTGAAATCAACATATTTCTTTTGTCTTTTCCAGGTTCAAGCCTTGAGGGTCAAGAAAACTGTAAGTTGTGATGTTTCCACTCAGTTTCATCTTGTCCTTTTCTTTCCATGATTCTTAAAACTCCTGTCAAATTGCTTGGGTTTGAAATTTATAACAATTGAGAAAAAATATTCCAGTTGAGGAATACTGTTTATTCTATTTGGCTTTTTTAAGGTTTTGGAACAAAACACTTCTAAAATGTTCTTAATCCAAATGTTCTAGAAGCAGCATACACCTTTTTTAAATTAAGATTATAGAAATTCTGGATTAAAAGAAAAATTCTAGATTTTAGAGGCCACATTCTAACCCGCATATTCTAGAAGTAGCATGCATGTTAGATTCTATTGAATTGCTATTTGTTAGGACTGAGGAGGTGATAAAAAAGGGAGCGATTCCATAACTTGTCCCTTGTCGTTCTACCGTAAATTACTTGTTTTCATATGATACTCTATCCAGAACTGTTTTTTATTCACAAACAAGATATAATTGACTTGTTAGACTCATGAAGACAGAACGTAGTTTAAATTGTTGCTATAGTCTTTTTCCCCTTAAATGATCTAAAATGTATATTGGGTCTTATCTGCAATATTTTGTGCAAGTTCTCAGGAAAAGAAAGGATTCTTTGAATCCTAGTTTATCATCCACTTTAGAGCTGATTTTGTACTTTTATCCTGAAATAAGTGGGCTTTGTTCTGTCTTATCTGGGACTACCACCTGAAGGAAGGGCTTGGTCAGGTCTGGGGACTGGATAGAGGGAGGGTCCGCAGAACTGGATCCCCTTGTCAGTCACTTCAGTCAGTGAAGAAAGGGGGTGATTGGGTTGCAGAGACATTGTATAGCTCTTTGCAGATGAAGTGCATGGATAATGCTGGTTTCTTGACCCAAGGCTCTGAGCAGTGACACTCAGGGATGAGGGGTTAGCATGGTGACTAGCGAAGTCCGTCTGCTGGGGTCTCATGTTGAACTGTCCATGTGCTTCCATGGGCATTTGACCCCCATGGCAACCTATGGAGGCGGGCTATCCATTATCTCCATAACCAGCCTAATTGACTGATGGTGTTGCCAAGGCTCAGAGAAATAAGTGACATGTCTGTTTGAGTCAGTTTGACATCGGCACTAGAACCTCCGCTATTCAAAACCCAACAGTCTCTCTGGGGCCGCAGGGCTGACTTAAATCTTTCAGGCAAGTTTTACTTTGCCTCTCTGAACCTCTTCCCCAATCTGTAAAATGGGGATGATAATAGAACCTATTGAATAGAGTCAGTATGAGGATGAGATTGGGTAAGTGAGGTGGCTCACTCACCCGGCACAGTGCCTGCCCAGTGGGCAGTGATTAATAAATGATAATGATGTTAATATCCAGTCCTATCCCACCTTTACAATCAGAGCTCCCGCACCACCCACCCTCCCTCTTGTCCACTCCAGGCCAAGCCCTGAAAACATCCCATGCTCTGGAGCTTCTCTTACTGTCTACATCCTGTTTCCTGGGACCTTCCTTCTTTCCTATCTCCTTCCCCACTTCAAAATAAATCTCCCTTCCCTGGGTTCCTAGAGAACACTCTTTGTACCTTCAGGTAAGCCCTCAGGACTGCACAACTTAGAGTAAGGAGAGATCGGCTGGTCCACTGTTACTCTCCCACTGCTTTCTCAGGCCTTCGCTTTGTTGGGGAAACTGAGACCTGGGGCCCACAAGGCTAACGCGCTGGGTGTTAGCAGAGTAGCGACTAGAACCCAGGTCTCCCATCACTTACAGTCCTGAGTCCATGCTGACCACGTCTTTGAAATGCATGAGCTGCCCGATTGTTCCATGTTGCCCACTGTCTGCGGGTCAGGTATTTGGTTGGCCTTGGCCCTTTCCTTCTATCTCAGGCCTCCTCAGCTCCCTCAAATCCCCCCCAGCCCCCAAGGAGATGACCTCAGCTCCATCTTCATCTAGAAAATAGTGGCCGTCTGGAGGTAACTCCCTCAACTTCCCGCCCTGCCCTGGCTACAAGCTTATCTTCCTCCTCCACCCATCCTCCTGGCTCCCCTCTGGCCTCAGAGGCGATGTCCCCCCTGTGACTGATCAAGGCTGCCCATCTACCTGGACTCTGAGCCCATCCCCTCAAATCTCCCCCAGGACCTTCCTCTGTATTTGTTCAGCACTACCGCCCCCAACAATTCTCAATATCTTTATTATTCCTCTACTGACTGACTTTTTTCCCTAGTCCAAAAACATGATTGAGTAGCTCTTTTTTTTTTTAGGATAAAGAAAAGTCACACACACACACAAATCCCCACTCCATTTATCTTATGTTTCTCTAGCTAGCCACTTCCTCTCCCAGTCAGACTTCTTTGAAGGCTAGTTTATAATCGTTGTCTCTGCTTCTTCTCCTCGAAGTCACTCCCCACTTAACCACAGTCTGGATTCAGCCCCCACAGCTCACTACCATGGGAAACTCTCACTAAAGGGTCACCAGGGACCACCCAATGCCAAATCCAATGAATGCTTCCTGCCCTTAGCTTACTGGGACCCACGCTACCTTTGACTCTGTTGGTCATGCCCCAAAGTCTCCTTACTTGACATTCTAGACCCTCTTCCCTAGATTTTCTCCAACCTCTCCAACAAACCCTCCTTGTTCTCACCCAGGAGAGACTTTGACCTTTCCACAAGTCTGAATTCTGTCCCCTGGTCTCGGCAGGCTCCACAGCCTCATCCTATCTGGAGCTCAATTCCTCTCCTGACACCTGCACACACCTCCCTGGCCCAATCTAGCCCTGACAGCCCCTCCACCAGGCTTAACATGGGACCAATGGCTGATGTCTCCTCTTAGCTATCCCATAGGCCTCTCAAACTCAGCTGCTCAGTGACTTCATCTTCCTCCCCTACCTTTTCCTAGCATTCTCTACTTAAGTTGGCAGCACCCTCATCCTCCTGGGTACCTAAACCAGAAACCTGGTATGTGTCTTCCAGTCTTTGCCTCAACCCCAATATCTAATCAAATAATTCCTTTGGAGTCTGTTAAAGATTTCTTAAATCTATCCCCCCTTCCCCTCACCCCCACTGGCCCTGCCCTAGCTCAGGCCTCACCAGCTTTCACCAGAACCACCCACACAGGCTGGTTTCTGTGTTTTGCCTGCAATAATCTTTCTAGAATCCAATCTCATCTTGTTACTCCACTCCTGAAGACCCTCAGGCCAGGGACCAGTTCATCAGCACAGCAGGCAAAGCCCTTCTCTTCTGGTACCGCCAGTCTGGCCCCTCTGGCCCTACACTCTTGTTCCTGTAATGGGTCATGCCCAGAATGTGCTGTGATTTCTCATGCCCCTGTGCCCTGGTACATGTTGTTCTCCTGCCCCGAGCACTCCACTTCCCCTCTTTGGCCTGGTTCAAGGCTCAGTTCATGGGTCACTTCCTTCAGACTTTCCTTGCCTCCCCTGGGTAGCCCTTCTAATGGAGCTATATCATTGTACTCAGATTATCTGTGTCCCCCACTCCCTGCAACAGCTTGGACAGCAGGAGTGATTTCTTAATCACCCTGTAATCTCAGCACCTAGCACACATGCTCCGTAAATGTCCTCTGGAAGGGATTTCAACTAAACTTGGAGAAGCTTGAGATTAAGAAGAGAAGATGAGGTCAGCATTCTCTGTGCTGTGCACAGTTCATCAGGGACTCCATGCTTTGTGGTTCCCTGGAGTTTTTCTAACTGTGGTGGGTGGCCCCTGTCTCCCCACCTCCTCTCTTCCTGAGTAATTTCCGGGTTGAGGGCCAGGTGGCTGGCTGAGTCACGATACCTCATCTTCCCAGGGAGCATCAGCATCCACTGCTTGGTGGCCTTGAGGTGGAGGCCCCTTCGTTTTCATATTCTGGGATTTGGCACTGTGGTCCATGAGTGCCTCGTCTATGCTGCGGGTGACTTTGTCAGCCTTCATCTCTCTGGGTTGAAAAGACCTGACCTCTTTAGGCTGTTCCAAAACCCCCACCTTCCATCACAACAGCTTTGAACCTCTTGGGTTCTGTAGGGAAAGCTGTGGACTCTCTCTTTAGAAAAATGCACATCTGCATACAATTAAAGGTGGTCATGGACCCCCAAAGCCCATCTATGCATATCCCAGGAGATCCAGGTACCCCATGTTACAAATATTCACTGTATTGTGTAAATAGTAAGACCTGCACACAGTAATCCAGGTTTGGCTGTAGCTGGACAGTTTATTTACAAAGAGAATAATGTTTTCTGTATTATCTTAAGAAGAACCCGGTGGAGATTTTTGAGGACTGATTGGGGGTATGTTTGTTATCTATGGGATTTGGCACTGTGGTCCATGATTGCCTTGTCCATGCTGTTGGTGACTGTCAGCCTTCATCTCTCCAAGTGGAAAAGACCTGTGTTACCCCCTGTGTAACAAATTACCCCCAAACTTGGAGACTTAAGACAACACACATTTATTGTATCAATCAGTTTCCGAGGCTCAGGAATCTGGGAATGGCTTACTTGGGTGGCTCTGGCTCAGGGTCTCTCACGAGATTGCAGACAAGCTTTTGGCTGGGGTTGCAATCATCTGAAGGCTTGACTGAGCCTAGAGGATCTGTTTCCAAGTTCACCGGGATGCTGTTTCTGAGATAACAGGTGTGTCTACACTCCTTCCCTTTGCGCTTAGCTTTCACCATCAACAGCATCCGCATGGAGAGCCTGCCAGGGTGGACAGTGCGAAATGGGCAGAACCTGACCCTCCAGTGCATCGTGGATATCAGTACCACCTCACATGTCAAGCCCCATCACCTAGTGCTGTTCTACAAGGATGACGTGATGTTCTACAACGTCTCCTCCCGAGAGAACACAGAGAGTTATTTCATTCCCCAAGCCCGGGTTTATGACTCGGGGAAATACAAATGCACTGTGATCCTGAACAACAAGGAGAAAACCACGCCGGAATACCAGGTGTCGGTGCGAGGTGAGTCCTTGGACTTGAACCTAGCTCAGGCAGATGAAGTGTAACACACGTGGCTGCATGAACAGGAATTGTGAGTGAACAGAACCCTGGGCTTCCCTGCCCATTTTCCTAACCTGAAAATGTAGGCTTTAGATATGCTCCCAATATGCCAGGCTAGATCTAACCTCCTTGCCTTTCTACATGCCGTTTCCTCTCCTGCAAGTGCCCTTCTTCATCTCTCTCCATGTGAACTAATCTTTCTCCTTCAAGACTCAACTCAAAGGTCTCTTCTCTGACACTCTCCCAAACAAAATTGATCTCCTCCAGGGTACCGGTCCCTAAGCGCTCTCTACCTTTACTGGCATTTGTTGTGTGTACAAAGACCATTGGGCTGAGTGTTAAGAGCCTGAATTCTACAGTTACTTTGGGATCTGGACAAATCCCCTAACCTCTCTACACTCCAAAATCCTCATCAGTAAAATGAGGATGATAATATCCAGCTCAGGAATTACCCTTCATATAATTCCTAATAGATAGTGAGTTCCCAGTAAATGGCAGTTGCTATTTCACTCAATATTTTAACTATTTTTCACACATCTGTCTGCTCTTCAGGACTGAGGTCATGAGGAGAGAGATGATGTCTGGCCCATTTTTTTTAATATTTGCCTTTTTTTAATATTTTGCTGTGTTTTTGGTGAACGTTTACACAGGAAATTAGGTTTTCGTTTAACAATTTCTACACCTATTGTTCAGTGACATTGGTTGCATTCTTCACAGTATATCAGCATTCTCATTATTTCCATTTTGGTTGTTCAGGTTTAATCTAGCTTCCCTATGCCCCACCCGCAACCTTCTCATCTTTGGTCTAGGGTAAACGTTTACCATTTGGTTTCATCTAGATGATTATTTTGAAGAACACAGTACTCATAGATGATATTATTTATTTTATGGGCCAATCTGTCATTTGGCTGAAAGGTGACCTCTGGGAGTGGTTTGAGTTCCAAGTTTAAAGTGTGTCTCAGGGCGATAGTCTCAGGGGTTCATCTAGTCTCTACCAGTCCAGTAAGTCTAGCCTTTTTTTAGGAATTTGAGTATTGCTCTACATTTTTCTCCCATTCTATCCGGGACCAACTATTGAGTCCCTGGTCAGAAGAGTCAGTAGTGGTAGCAAGCACCAATGTCTGGCCCATTTTTGTAGCCTGAACAAAGAACCTGGCTCCTAGTAGACACTCAATAAGTATTTGTAGAATGAATTAAACAGATGAAAAGGCAGGCAGAAATGGGGTAGGGATGTACAGATAGGAAAATGGTTGTCAGGAATTTGGATTCACTCAAGCAGCATTTCCTGAGGCTATGAGTCAGGGAAGAGAAAAAGGCGTTTAAATAATTACAGTCCAATAGCCTTATGATCCAAGTGCCTTGGGAGCACAAAGGAAGAAGGAAACTGTTCTGCTTGGAGAAGTTAGGGAGGGTTTCCTAGACGAAGAAGCATTAGGGCCAGACATGGAAAGTCGAGTAGGAGTTTGCTTGATGGTGAAGTGGGTAGAGAAGTGGGAGACAGCATAAGTGTGAAAGAGCAGAAGCTGAGAAAGAAGTTAGTATCCCAGCTCTGTCATGTATCAACTGGGTGCCCTTCAGGCAAATCCACCAACCTCTGGGAGTCTGTTTCCTTTCTTTAGAAGAGGGATACCTAGGTGATTACATGCAGTCTTGAAGGTTGTTTTATTCTGAGGATGCAATGGGATAGCAAATGAAGCATGTTCAGTAACCACGTGCTGAATGAATGAATACCCATCTTGAACGAGGTCATTAGTTACTTTCATACCACCCCTCCTTCACAGAAATAATCACAATTGTAGGGAACTAATTGCTTGAGGCTTTGGCTCCTTGATGCCCCCTAGTGCTTGGCTCTGCGTCTGCCTGGTGGGGGCATTTCAATAAAGATTTGTTGAATAAATTAGCTGCGAAATGTCTGAAAGAATGTAGGAGATGGGTCTGGGTGACTGCAGGAGCCCCCCACCCCAACCCCCCACCACTGGACCTACTCTGGTCTCCTCGTCCCACCACAAGCCTCACCCTACAGCCCACTTAATGCTCCTAAAACTTATTGCATCTCCACTTTGCTCGCTAACCTGCCAAGTTATAAAAATTCTCCGAGTTCCAATTGTTTAAGTACTTACTCATTTCCAGGCACTTTGCTGAACTCGCTCCATAGATTCCCTCTTTCCATTACAACAATCCTAGGAGGTGAGATGAGGAAACTGAGGGCCAGTGAGAGGAGGTGGCTGGTTGAGGGTGCACACTCAGGAAGCGGCAAGTTTAGGGTTCAAGCACGGCCTGTCTGATTCCAAGATGGAGCACATGACAGCCAGCACATGGGGCCTGTGCAAGCAAGGCTCATCTCAGCTGGCTCCCCCAGCTCCTCCTGGGCCGACCTCGGCTCACCACTCTATGTACCTTCCCCTCCTCCCCTGTTCTCTACTCTAGACAAAAACAAAAACAAAAACGAAACCCATTGCTGTCAAGTCAATTTGGGTTCATGGCAACCTCATGTGTTAAAGAGTAGAACTGAGCCCCATAGAGTTTTCTTGGTTGTAATCTTTACATAAGCAGATTGCCAGACCTTTGTTTCTTGGCACCATTGGGTGGGTTGGAATGCTAACCTTTCAGTAAGTAGAGGAGCACAAATTGTTTGCACTATTCAGGGACCTCTGCTCTAGATAGCCCTCCTAAAAGCCACAACTATGTGCCCCGAAATGTCTGCCCTTGGCCCCCATCACACCTCATCTGTCCCACCCTCCCTTGAAGGCACAGCTCAGGTCCTGCTCCTTCTGGAATCTTCTCTGATCCCCCAGGCAAAGAGGGGCTCCTCCCTTCCTGACTGCCCTATCACTCTTTGTCTCTGCAGCATACTCTGATGCTTGGTTATCTTCAGTATTGTTCTTTGAACTGGGAAGGCTTATGCTGTGTGGGACAGTGTGCACGTGCATATGCACGGACGTGCGCGCGCGCGGGCACACACACACACACACACACACACACACCCCCTGGCTTGGGAGACCTAGAGTCCACTCTCTGCCCGGGGGCTTGCAGTCTGTGTGCTTTTGAATGGGCCTTGAACCCTGAGCTTCAGCTTCTTCATCTATAAAGTGGTTATAATTTTATCCTTTATGCCTACTCAGCAGGCTTTTTATGAGAATTACATGGGATCATGGATATAATGTAAAGCCTAGTTATGTGGCTTGATGCATGGTTGGCATTCAAGGAATTATTATTACAATTACAGTAATAACAATAAATGCTGTCTGGTGGGTTTTTTGTTTTTGTTTTTTTAAATCATATCCGTTAAGGAGATTTGTCTTCCCAATGGGATTGTAAACTCTGAAAGCACCAATCACATCTTAAGTGTATTTTATATTTTTCAAATGCTGGTATGGTGCTGGACACATAAATGCTCAAAAATTATCACGAGTAGGTAGTATTAGGAGTACCTGGGTGGTGCAAATGGTTAATGTACTTGGCTGCTAATCAAAAGTTTGAGGTTCGAGTCCACCCAGTAAGGCCTGGCAATCTACCTGCAAAATAATCAGCCATTGGAAACCCAATGGAGCACAGTTCTACTCTGCCACACATGGGGTCACCATGAGTTGGAGTTGACTTGAAATCAACGAATTTGGTTAGGTAGTACTGAGTGTTCCAGGAGCAAAAAAAAAGAACCCTCAGAAGGGTCAACCGCAATGACTCAGAGGCTTGTGCCACTGGATCAAACTGATACTGATGGACTTTCTCTTTCCCTAAAGGAGTACCCAATCCCAGGGTAGTGCTGGACAAGAAGGAGGTGATAGAAGGCGGGGTCGTGACGGTCAATTGTTCTGTCGAAGAGGAAAAGGCTCCAATATATTTCAAAATTGAAAAAGTTTCACTAGAATCAAAAACCATCAAACAAAGTAGAGAGAAGACTTCTCAGAACCAAAATTTTGTGATGGTGGAATTTCCGATTGAGGAACAAGACCATATTTTAATATTCCGCTGCCAAGCTATGATCCTCTCTGGGCTTCAGATGGAGACTTCGGACCTCACCAGGAGTGACCTGGTCACCGTGAGGTGTCAGTCCTGCTGTTCTTTCCATCATTCTTGTGGTTTGCTGGTTTGGTATCGGGGGACAGAACCCAGAATTAGGAATAGGCTGGGGCCTTCCAGCTGGGCCACTGTTCTCAGGACTTAAGACTTGTTCTTAATCACTTTAAGTCAATCTTATTTGTCAAACTTTTTTTGACTCTGACACAGTAAAAATATATATATATACACACACACATGTATTATTAAATATTATTTTCCAAATATATTTATATGTATAAGCATATATATGAAACAAAATTTTCACAAGCAATATTTAATATATATGAGATGCATTTTGATATTTTCTATTTCAGTTTTTTTCAACGCTGGCCATGACTCACTAAGTTGATGAATTGTGGGGCTTGCAGTTTGGAAACCACTGCTTTAAGTCAGTGAGGGTCAGACATCAGGGAGTGGGGTCTGAAGGATATGGTGTGGGAAGGGAGGCCAGACCCTCAGCCTTTGCTTCTCACATTGGGTGAGGGGTTCCATCCTTAACTTCCCCCCATCATCCAAGACCTTGGACATATGAGCCGACCTGAGAAATACTCTCAGGAGAGAAAGAGGGGACAGCAGAAAGTGAGTGTGAGCACAGGTAACCATAGGCAACATCTATCAATAGTGAAAACGCACAAAACATTTGAATCAACAATCCTACTGCTAAGAATTAACCTTAAAAATAACAGTACTTAAATGCTTGTAAAAATACCCAAGATATAAGTACAAATTTGTACATTGCAGGATTGTTGTAATAGCAAAAAAATGGGAAAATACCTGAATTTAGTAAAATTTATCAGTCTTTTTTTCTTTATGGCATCTCAGTTTTGTGATTAACTTCTAAAAGTCCTCCACACTCTAACATTATTAAAGAAATAGTGCACCTATGTTTTCTTTTTGTATTTATCTGGTTTCATTTTTTTCTGCATGTAAATCTTGTATATCTGGAGTGAATTTCAATATAAGAAAGACCTTAGTTATCATTAAGCTGCCTCAGAGGATGTGGGGCCCTTGTTGAGCGTGCTAAAAAATGTCCTTCCTTTTTGACATTTTCTCAGAAAATCAAATTTTTTTTAAATGATAGCTTTTTATTAAAATTGACTTTATAGTATTAAAAATTATCCTTAAAGAGTCATTAAAATGACTGTATAGTAGAACACAAAAATTCTAATCAATATTAAAGTATTTTATCACCTAAACTCACTTCGAGCATTTTTTAACGTCCCTGTCTGTGTTTTACACAGTCGTGATCTGCGTACATATAGTCTTTTATGGCCTGTTTGGGTTACGTGGTTTTGTTTTGTCATTGTTGGGTTTTTTTGTATTCTTGTGGGAGCAAAGGCCAAGGACCTGGCCCTACTTCCTTCATTATCTCCTGAAGACCCCAATCCCTGGTGGTGTCAGGCCCATGTCTCATTAAAGGAGTAGTTTTCAAACTGCACAAACCGTTGCATCAATTTATTGAGGCATAGACAGCATTAAAAAAAAGAAAAAGAAAGAAATAGAATAAACTAGAAACCACATTTTTTTGCATGTAGTTATTAAAGTGTACATTTCCATGAATCAGCATAGTCCACATACTTGTCACTTTTGAAAGCTATAGGATATTCATGCTGAAATGCCATAGTTCTATGAAATGTTCATTCTAGGCAGGTGTGAAAAGAGGCTGGAAAATCCTTGGTGGATGGGGACAATCCACTTCTAACTGCTGTGGTTATTTCTGAGGTCATCTGAGGAAGGTTCTGCACAAGAGACCTAGAGAAGGTGGTTTGGCCTTTGGGAAGCTAAAGAAAGTTAGAGAAATGGAGTTAAGAAGGCTGAAGACGCAAGAATGAGTGAGAAGGAGGGGAGCATCAGGGAAGCCTAGGTGAGGGTTTTGGGGAGGAAAGTTGAATTTTTAAAATCAATAAGGAAAAACAGTGGTTGGCAACAGGAGCAGAGCAGAAAAGAGTAGGAAGTGCACTTATCCCTTGCCCAGATGCATTTGAACCTGAGCCCAGATGCATTGTCCTTTTCTCTTGTAGCATCCTTCTCCATTCCCAAGTTCCACGTCAGTCCTACAGGAATGATTACAGAAGGAGATCAGCTCCATGTTAAGTGCACCATTCAAGTGACGCACTTGGCCCAGGCATTTCCTGAAATCATAATCCAGAAGGACAAGGCGATTGTTGCGCACAGCAGACATGGCAATGAGGCTGTCTACTCGGTGATGGCCGCAGAGGAGCACAACGGCAACTACACCTGTAAAGTGGAAGCCAGTCGGATATCCAAGGTCAGCAGCATCGTGGTCAACATAACAGGTAGGGCTGCTGCTGGAGGGTGTTGGCATATGGTGGGCTCCAGAAGCCATCATTCTAGAATCCAGATTGGTGGTGGCCAATAAGAACTGGTATTTTTCTTCTTTGCCACTGCTTGTTGGAATGAACGTTACACAGATGGGGATGTGGTGCTCCTGGGGAGAAGTCAATGTAAAGTGAGCCAGGAGTCAGCTGTGGTGGTTGGGGTGCAGGCTATAATACTAAATCCCAATCCTGCTACTCACTACGTCTGTTACCTTGGGTGAGTTATTGAGCTTCTCTTTGCCTCAGCTCTGCAAGATGGGAGTAATGAAGCCTTCTGAAAACTGCCCCTAGTAAAGATCGCTATTCATGGGCTCAAACCCCTTCAGGTCCATGATTCTTCACTTGACCTCTTCATCTATCTGGAGCACCCTTTCCCCTTGACTATCTGAAAAACTTCCAATATCCTTAAAGACCAAGCCCCAGATCTCTCCAGGCTGCCCTAGACAGAGTCCACCGTTCACACCTCAGTTCCCACCGCACTCTGCTCTTTCTAATCAACAGTTACTGTCAGATTTGGTTTGGTGTCTGTCTCCACTACTCTATGAGAGCTCCTGAAGGCCAGGTCTGTGACTCAAATCATGTTACATCTTTGGAACTTTGCACAGAGCTTGGCACATTGTAGCAGCTCAATACATATTTGTTCAATGAGTGAATACAAGATTGATCCCTGATTACTCTTCGTGATAGTCCAGCCAGTATGTTTATACAAAAGTTACTGGTTCTTTGTCCATGCCGTGGGACCCACCATTCCCCTTGTTCAGAGGCCACTGCTCTACAGGTCATTGTCCATCACCTCATTTACAAATAGATTATTACTCCCTAATGATTCACTCCTAATTCTAAACCACCCTGCACCCACCTTAGTAGGATGGTTTATATTTTTTACATTTTTTGTTACATTTTTTAAAATGCAGAGTCATTACTTTGGGATTTTTCCTAAGGCATTTTTTCATTTTGTTTTGTTTTTCTTTTGGTCTCCTTCTAATGAGATCGTAAGGTGTGTTAGGATGTCAACTTCTTTGGGTCCTTTTTCCTCCTACTTCCAACCCCAAGCTTTGATGGTGCTCTGAACACAGATAACATAGAAGGAAGGAAGGATGAATCAAGGTACCTTTATGAAATATAGATTAATTATTGGAATACTATATTTTGGAAGCTTTTATTTTATTACCTGTTGAGGAAACTAGGAGGACACTGTGGACTCTGATTATGATGGAAATGACATCCATGGCTTTGTAACATCGATGATGACAATGGCAGGGCTGATTTTTTACCCCAAGTCCTATACAGCACGTAAATATTAGAACCAATGGCAGAACTTGATTCCCTGACTCCTGGCTGTGTTCTCAAAACTCTGACCCAAGAAACTTTCCTAAAAGGAACTTTTAGTCTTGTTCCTTTTTTTTTTAAATGCAAGTAGACTGAAGAATTACTGCCTTGAGGACAGACTTCTTCCTTCTTCATCAAGGGTCATAACTGTGAAGTCAGTTTGCATTTGCTGACATGAGAGATCCAAGTCTTTACATTGGTGAAGTAGTTAACTAGTAGTTACCCTGTCGCTAAAAATAAAAACATACGCAAAAACTATGAAATATTGACATATTTCAGGGAATATTTTAGTTAGGAAATGACAAGACACCTTGAAAGTCAACCTCGGTCTTTACCACTGCTGACATCCAACCTAAATTATGGTGCCAATAACTCCTTAAAGTGGCACAGCATGTAATAGCTTATAAAGTACTTGACCTTGGGAGGTTTCAGGTGATCATCTTCTTTCCTCTTTGTAGGAAGCACTAGAGTAATGGTGGCCAGCTGCTACTTCTCCCCAATCCCAAGTCACTCTGCTTCAGGCTCACATTACATCCCCTCCTGCCTCCAGTCTGGGCCTCTCCAAACCCCATTCATTCCTCTTTCAGAGATCTTTCTAGAAAACACATCAGACGGCATTCTCCTGACCCAGACCCTGCTTGGTTCCCATTGCCCTGAGGGTACAGTCCATACATCTTAGGGTGGTTCCTAAGAACCTTTGTGGTCTACAGGCCCACCTCCGGCCTCTCCTACCTGCACTATGATCCAGGAAGACTGACGGCCTTTCAAGCGTGTGAACCTTCTGTCAGGCCTTCCCATATGCTGTTCTCTCTGCCTCGAACATTTTCCCCGTCCTCTTTCCCTGACTAACTTCATCCAGGAGACGTTTCCTGATCCCCCAAGCTTAGGTTCTGTGTGTCCTCTGTGGGCTCTGCTGCCAACATGTGTCTGAATCCCCCACTAGACAGAAGTATATTCACAGATATGTGGGCAACCAGGCACTCTTTCTTATTCACAGCTGTCTCTCTGGTGCCTGGCAAGGTGCCCAGAACAGAATGGGCCTGAAATAAATAGTTGTGGAGTGAGTGAATGCATGAATTAATAAATGAGGGAGTGAATGAATCATTGCTTGCTGGATTTCAAATTACAAAATTTATCTACTCCATGTCTGTGCAATAAATTGGATTAACAAGAGAGGAAAACCTGCCATAGGAATCCCAGACAATGAATGAACCACAGGAGAAAAGTGGGGTGTAGAACTCAAATTCTAGTAAAAAGACCAGACTTAATGGTCTGACTGAGATTGGTGGGGCCCCGGAAGACATGGCCCCCAGACTCTCTGTTAGCCAAAAACTAAAACCGTTCCTGAAGCCAACTCTTCAGACAAAGATTAGACTGGACTGTAAGACATAAAATGATACTCATGAAGAGTGTGCTTCTTAGCTCAAGTAAATACATGAGTCTTAATGGGCAGCTCCTGTCTGGAGGCGAGATGAGAAGGCAGAAAGGGACAGGAGCTGGTTGAATGGACACAAGAAATCAGCGGTGGAAAGGAGGAGTGCGCCGTCACAGAATAGGGAGAGCATGTGTATAAAGTTTTGTATGAGAAACTAACTTGGACTGTAAACTTTCATTTAAAGCACAATAAAAAAAAAAAGAATGAACTATAGCTTTTTGATTGTATGATCATCAGGGAATGTGGGAAGCCAAGGAAAACTTTTGCTCTACCTTTTCGTAAGAAGTTGGAAGTTGGTTCTGCTAAAAGCTGGTGGACCAATGGCCTCTCCATGAGGGGCTCTGGGATGGTTTCCAGTCAATCTCACCTCATCCCCACTCACTGCTTTGTTGTTTCTTTCAATAGACTTTATTTCTTAGAGTAGTTTTTAGGTTTACAGAAAAACTTGCAGACAGTCCTGTGTTCCCATATTCTCCTCCCTCCTGTACATTGTTTCTCCTACTATATGTCTTACATTCCTGTGGTACATTCGTTACAATTAGTGAATCAATTGTTGTTATCAATTGTTGTTCTTGTTAACTGCCATTGAGTTGGCCTGCCCCATCCTGAGCCATCCCTGTGATTGGTTGCGGATTGGACCATTGTGATCCATGGGGTTTTCATCAACTGATATTTGGAAGTAGATTGCCGGGCCTTTCTTCCTAGTCCATTTTAGTCTGGAAGCTCTGCTGAAACTTGTTCAGCAGCATAGCAACACCCAAGCCTCCAGTGACAGACAGGTGGTGGCTATGCATAAGGTGCATTGACCGGGAATTGAACCGGGTCTCCTGCATGAAAGGTGAGAATTCTACCACTGAACCACCAATGTTCCAATGAACCAGTATTGATACGTTATTACTAACTAAAGTCCCTAGTTTACATTAGGGTTTACTCTTTATTTTGTACATTCCTATGGGTTTTGAAAAATGCTTCATGTCATGTGCCCACCATTACAGCATCATGCAGAATAGGTTCACTGCCCTGTACACTCACTGTTTTTTCAGAGCTGTTTTCCAAGCCAAAGCTGGAATCTTCCATCACACGTCTGGACGAGGGTGAAAGCCTAAGCCTCCAGTGCACCATCCCAGGAGCGCCCCCAGCCAACTTCACCATCTGGAAGGAAAACATGACTGTGACGCAGACTCAGAATTTCACCAAGGTCGCCTCAGAGTGGGACAGCGGGACCTACATGTGCACTGCGGCCATCGGCAACGTGGTCAAGAGGAGCAACAAGGTCCAGATCACCGTGTGTGGTGAGTATGGCCTTGCTGGCTCAAAGCCAGTATAAAATGAGACAAAGGGGTTTATTGTCAACTGCGACCCTCTCCAGTCTGAAGGCAGAGCAGCTTCAGACAGGGTCAGAATTCAAGGGAAGGAGAGAGGGGTGGAATTGAGAGGCTGAACAGAGGTGAGTGGATATTCCCGGTCAGAGCACCGGAGAGGGGCAATGTGAGGAAAATGTTATGGTCCAAAATCAAGGTCATGACTGGATTGTAGCTACATGCTGATCATGTGACTCCTGATTGGCAAGATTCTGGCTGCTAGAGCAGGGTCCCACCCCAAAGGCCAGGGAGGAAACACTGCTTGGTCAGTGTTAAACTTTCAGCAGCTCTTAAGTTCTAGTTTTTTTAATCCGTATCCTGGCCAAGAGAAGGGCTGAATGTAGGTCCTGGGGCCACCTCAGCCAGGTTTCTCAGACTTGAATGTGCAAACAAATCACTTGGGACCTGGTTAGAGGGCAGGTCCTGCTTCCACAGGAAAGGAAGGGGCCAGATTCTGCATTTCTAACAAATCCCTTGGTGATGCTGATGCTCTGGCCACTGCACCACACTTTCAAGTAGCCAGGTCCTAGATGAATGCGGAACATCGGTCAAGCGGTCACTGTTATTGTTCAGTCATGGTCCTATACCTGTGGATTTTCCAGCCACGACTTTAGTCTCAACTGAACCAGCAGTTTAGCCTTTTGTCAACTCTCTGGCCATCTAGCTCAACAGGAAATAATGCAAGAGACAAAGATGGGTCACTGTATTTTTTAATTCCTTTATTATTATTATTGGGAGAGGTCATTTGGATTCATAAGCTTTATAAATAAGTTAAGTTCTAACAATAACCTAGTAGAATTCTTATCTCTTGAGGCGTGTAATTTCCTATCAGGAGACTAAGGCACTAAGAATTTGTTGTAAAATGTATTTTGTTTGGATATTTGTTATACTTTTTTTTTTTCTGTGTCTTTTCTCAACACCAAAAAAGTCTCTGTGTTTGCATATGTGTGATATATGAAAATATAAACATGTATTTATAGTGATGTAACAAAATGGAAGGTGCAGGACTGGGCAGTGTTTCATCTGTTTTACCTACGGTCACTATGAGGTGGAACCGACTCGACAGCACCTAACGACAACAACAACGTTTTTCTTGAATTTGTATAGTCCTGTGTTTTGTTTGAAGGAGCCCTGGTGGCTCAGTGATTAAGCGCTCGGCTGCTAACTGAAAGGTCAGTGGTTCGAACCCACCAGCCAGGAAAAAGATGTGGCAGTCTGCTCCCATAAAGATTACAGCCTTAGAAACCCTCTGGGCAGTTCTACTCTGTTCTGCAGGGTCACTCTGGGTTGGAATTGACTCAGTGGCAACAGGTATATTTTGTTTATAGCGTTTCTCTGTCTCTCTCTCCTTCCTCATAACATATACACATTAGCTTTCATTTCCATAGGAGTCCTGTAAAGGTAGATAAGGCAGGCAGGCATTTAAAATCTGATGATGACAGAGAAAGCAAAGCCCAGAGCTTGGGCTGAGTGTTTTGCTTCTGCCTTCAGTGCCCTTCAGATTGTTTCTCCTCTGTCGTTCTAGAAATGCTCTCTGAGCCCTGGATTTTTCATGACAGCAGATCTGAGGTGGTAAAAGGACGTACTATAGCCATCAGTTGCCAATCAATAAATGGAAGCTTACCTATTTCTTATCACCTTTTAAAAGCAAATAAAACTTTAGAGAGCTTTCAAAAAAGCTCCAGTGATCCTGCAGTGTTCAAAGACAAACCAACAAAAGACACTGAATACCAGTGTATTGCGGAAAATTGCCATTCTCATGGGAAAATCATCAGCAAGGTCCTGAGGGTCAAGGTGATAGGTAAGTCACTGTGCTATGAGAAGAAATCACGTGGGGTTGGGGATTTAGTTAACATTTTTGAAGGCTTAGGGTTGCCCAGGGATTGGGGCCATAAGAGAAATGGGTAGTACTTCTGCAAAGACCATAACCCAGGAATGAGTTAAAGCAGGTCCAGGTAAATGGATCTAGAAAAGATTTCGGGGCTATTGACTTGACTCAATCTAATCTCTTTTGTGAAGCTTTGAACTGAACTGCTAAAAGATTAAAAGAGGGCAAGTGTTCTGACTTGGGGAGCACTAAAGTTATGTGCTTGGGTTTCCTTAGCATTTACTCCCTTTTGGATAGACTGACAGTCATCTCTGTCATTTGTTTTCTACGTAGTTCTGTGATGTGCAGAACACCTATAGGCGGTGGTCTCATGGGACTTGCTAGCATTCATCTGGGATACTCCTACTCAAGAGAAACACACCATTGCTTTGGAATGGGTATTTTACCTTGAGCTTCTATCTTGTGCCTCTCAGAAGGCAGTAAGAATGACAGTGCTAACATTTATTAAATATTAATAAAGCTTAACAAGGCCTCTTCCTCTTCCTCCTCCTTCTCATTTAATAACTGCTTGTTTGCATGTGCCACTGTGGACATCTCAAGTTGATCGATTCCTGTCTCTATCTATCAACGTCTAGCCAAAGAGCAGCCACAATTTTCAAATTAACATCCACATATATATTAAGCACCTAATGCTATGGAGCATACAAAAAAAGAAGATACAGTCTTTGCTTTCAGATATTTAACAGGAAACACAGGAACTACCCTTCAGCCAGAGATTAGACAGGCCCATAAAAGAAACAATAATACACGTAGCTCAACCGTGTATATGAAACAAAATGGGCACGCCAGCCCAGGGGCAAGGACGAGAAGGTAGGACGGGACAGGAAAGCTGGGCGAATGGAAATGGGAAGCCCAAGGTTGAGAAAGGGAGAGTGTTGACACGTTGTGGGGTTGGTAACCAACGTCGCAAAAAAATATGTGTATTAACTGTTTAATGAGAAACTAATTTGCTCTGTAAACCTTCACCTAAAGCACAATAAAAAACAAAAAAAGAAAGGAAGGAAGGAGGAAACACAGGAACTACTAATTAAGTAGTAGAGACATATTTGAGTAACAGTGCACATAGTCATAGAAGAAATGTTACGAGGTAACACACGATTAATTGCCCTGTGAACTGTCTTTACAATGATGCTGATAGGAATTTAAGGGATGGGAGGTATCACCTGGCTTGAGTGGGAAAACTTCACAGAAGAGCTGGCTTAGGAGCCAGAGTTTGCCAGTGAGTGGGCAGAAAGTACTGGAGATGGCCTACCAGCCAAGTCAAGGCACATGAGCAAAAGGCTCCATGGAGCAGTTCCAAAGACTAGGGGTAAATCCAATGCCTGGAAACAAAGGTTATAAATGGAGAATCATTGAATATAGTCTGAAGAAAGGGGCTAAGCCCGACTGTGAAGGCATCAAATGTCAGTCTGGGGGGTTTGGAGTTTGCTCTGTATACAGTGAAGAAGAAGGAAAGGATGAGAATAGGGTCTCAGAAGATCAGCCTGGTGGCTCTGTCAGTTAGAGGGTGCAGAGCCTCCACACCTTAGGATATGTTAAAAGGCTACTGCAGAAGTTCAGGTGACTATTGGCTTATACATTAGTGGTTAACATTTACTGAGCTCTGACCATGTGTCCAGCTCTGTGTGAAGTACTTTCAGTAAATTACTTCCATGAATACTTATAACAGCCACATAAGAAGAGTAGTTGTAGTATTCTCATTTTTCGATGAGGCAACTAAGGCTTAGGACAAAGAGCTGGTGGGTGGTAGAGCTGGGATTTGAACCAGATAGTCTGACCTCTGAGCCCAACTTGTTACCATCCCCTTGTGCCTCAGTTCACACTGAGAGGGGATGCCAGGTGAGGCAGAACCTTTGGGGAGTCTGCCTTGGTGTGGGATACCCACCGTCCTGGTGCTCTGCTTTGCAGATCAGCACCTTCATGGTCTAGGCACCCACCACACTCACAACAGGGTGACTCATAATCAGACTGCCAGTTTGCTGACCAGTCCTTGCTCACGCTAGTAGGAAAGTCCACTTGGCAAGACAATTTAGGATCAGAATTTTGGTGGTTGAGCATGGAGCCAGGGAATGGAGATGCAGGAGGAAGTTGAGTTCTGCTTGGACCTGCTGGGAACGAGAGGCTGGCAGGTCTTCCAGGTGGAAATGGTGAGGTAAAAATCGAGACTTGGAGGTCGGGAGTAATCTGAACTCGAGATGTTTAGGTGCTAAATGCTCAGAACTAGAAGCTACAAGTGTAGTTTAAGTTACCAAAGGGGAGAATGAAGATGGAAAGAAAGTCAAGGACAGAATTTTTGCAGAAAGCCCATATTATGAGGCAAAAGGAAGAACAACCAGTGAAAAAGGAGAGGGTGGCAGGTGAGGAAGGAAGAGAATCAGGCTGTGAGGCATTGCAGAAGCCCAGAGAAAGATGAGTTAAAAAGGAAGGGCTGGGTGACAGTTAAAAGCTTTAGGGACCCCAAGAATGGAAGGACTGAACCGAGAACATCCACTATTGAATTTAATCTGCAGGAGACTCATGGGTCATTTGGTTGGGAGATTGGGTGATCTTTTGAGTTTCTTTGAAACCAGAAATAAAGTGCAGTTTCAGAAGCAGAGGGGTAGAAGTCAGATTTCAGAGGCTTTGGGAAGTGGAATATAAAGATGTGAAAGCAATAGGTTTAGATCACTTGTTAGATAAAGGAAAAAGGAGAAGAACAGGATGAAAACTAGAGAAGGCAGTGGGTCAAGGTTGTAACCTCTAGAAGTACCAAGCACTTTTGTAAGCAGAGAGAGAGAGAAATCACACACATACACACACACACACACACACCCTTCTCTGAAATAGACCCCAAGAGAACATGTAAATTAAAGGATTTAATCAATCTTATAGTCAAACTGAGTGGTCAGTAATACTTGCGATGGTCAGTGAAGGGAAGTGTCACTGGTATCTTGTGTTTAGTCAACATGTGAGGGCAGGGGCGTCCATTCTGGCCTAGTCAGGGGCGGGACAATGGAAGTGAGATGAGAGCAAAGACTTGAATGGAGAGCACCATCCAAGCCCAAGTCATGTGCATGTTTCTTCTCATTCCCCCCTTCTTTTCTCAGTGCTAATCCTTTTCCTGTTTTTCAGCCCCGGTTGAGGAGGTCAAGCTGACTATCATGTTGAGTGAGGAGGTGGAGTCTGGAAAGGCCTTTGTGCTCCAGTGCTGTGTGAATGAAGGGTCTGGTCCAATCACCTATAGGTTTTACAGAGAAAATGAGAACAAGCCCTTCCATGAGACCACTACAAATGACACCCAGGCAATTTGGCACAAGGCAGAGGCTAGCAAGGAGCAGGAAGGACAGTATTACTGCACGGCCTCCAATAGAGCCAACTTCGCCAGAAGCCTCCCCCAAAGCAACAAGCTGACAGTCAAAGGTGAGTCGAGGGTTCCGACAGCCAGGTGTGCTATGGGCTCCAAGAGTGAGGCCAGAAAACACGCCACTATGGTTGGGAGTTTAGCACATGTGACTGAAGATGAGTGGCCAATGGCCTCCAGACTCTTTGGTTGCAAGTGACAGAGACCCACTCAAATTAACATAAGAAAAAAAAAGAGTTATTTTTTATAAGGAATTGGCAGTATTTCACAAAGTCCCAATTCCAAGTTCTTGGCAGAGGCATGCCAGTTGGTTCACCTTGGGTCAAACGTCCACCCATGGAGCCCCTGTGGCCAAGAGGTTTGGGTTATGCAGAATGAACATGGTCAGGGAAGCCCTAGAGAAGGAGAAGGGCTGAACAAACACCCAAAAAGGAGTGTACCCCAACAAAGCTGGTTGTTCTCACCTCTAAGGCTTTAGATAACCTCTGTTTATAGCAGAAATAACCATTTCTGCACCAGTTACGAGTGCAGCGTCCCTGAGAGGTAGATGCTAAGTGTAAATCAGTCTTATTTGTTACTTAAACCTGTAATTATTTCATGCTGGCTGAGGAAAAACCTATATATTTAAATTGTTTTCATTTCTAGTCTTCCTTGCCCCATGGAAGAAAGGACTTATTGCAGTGGTTGTCATCGGAGTGATAATTGTCACCTTGCTACTTGGGGCTAGATGCTATTTTCTGAAGAAAGCCAAGGGTGAGGACAGCTATTTCATTCCATTCTGACAGGTGACCCTTGCCAGGAAACCAGCCATAGTTGGGTGGTGGCTCAGCTTTGTGGGGGGCTGGTGCTCTGCCCCAGTGGGAGCTGAGGAGATATGACTGAGGATGGTTGTTTTTCTCCTTGGGGTACCACCTTGATAACCAAAGATTTTGGCTTTGGTGGGTGTGGAGCTATTATTGACCTGGATTTCACTAGAAAAATTAAAGGCATTGCTTTCTAGTTGGGCAACCCAGAAAAGATAAATTAGAGGGGCATTGCATCTCCATGTGGTCAAAAGAAGTTGTTCCTGTGCGTTTGGTCACACCAGGCTCTGCAGTTGATAGAGTGGGGTTTGAGTGTCACGGAAACACCCATGGGCACATCTTACCCACTGAATGCCTCCTAATTAAACCGCCACTTGTGCCATGATGTCTACCCTGTGCTTGGAGTCAGTGAAGCATGGATGGGAAGCCAGGATCACCCACTGACCCTCGGGAATCAGAGTCAGCTAGCCAGGGCCCAGTGGAAAAGGGCACAGCACCAGTTGATGTGGATAAGGAGGAGCCCTGGGATTTTTCTAGAGCATGAAGGCTGCAACCCCTCTGGGAAGACAGGCTCCAGAACAAACTCCTTTGTAAGATTGACCCCGGCATCGGTCTCAGGCCAGTTTGGAATTAAAAGCAAAGGGATTGATTTAGCCTTTGCCTTTTGGAATTGTCCTGAATCACAGTGATAGCTGCCCGCTCATCTGGCTAATCTGGCTCCAGTACCGTTCATTATCTTTGTCTCCTACCAGATTCCACTAATAAAAATCGCTCCTGGCTAAAACAGACAAAATGTATTTCTAGGGAAATCATGTGGAATCTCTTGGTTAAAGACCAAAAGAAGATCTGCATTCTGTATTTTTTTTTTAGCATAAATATATTTAGCTTTCTTTTCTCTCTTTTTATGGGTATTCAATATTCAGGAAAAAAGTCAAATGTGATTGAAATTGAGTGCTCCTATCTGGAATGGACAAGAATTCACACTGACTTTGGTTTTTCTCTTTCTCTTTAAAGCTAAACAGATGCCAGTGGAGATGTCCAGGTCAGTGTGGGGGAGGCAGAGGGAGTAAGGGGAGAGGCTGCTTTGTGGCATGGGTGGACTTGTCTGCAGGGAGATTCTGGCTATTAGGAAGTTTTTGGTGATTCTTGGCAAAATTACAAAAATAAAGGTCTAGGGTATGAGTGGTGTGTGTGTGTGTGTGTGTTGTGTGAGTCTGTGTATAAGAGAGGGAGTGTGTGTTTAAGTTTGCAAGTTCATGTGTGTGTCCGTCTGTCTGTGGAAGATTGCCAACTGTCCTGTCATGGGAAGGAATGGCTTTTATTCTGAGCTCATGCCCTTCCTGTACTATAACATGTGAAATCCCCTTTTCCTTATATAATTATGATGGCAATAGACAGAATTTTAAAAATTTACTTACTTGGAAAAATAGATTTGGCTAATTTATATTGGTCTAAAAAAGTTATTTTATGATTTTTACTGTTCTGTGAAATCCAAAATTATGGCAACAATTACTCTGTTTCTCAAGAGAAACAGTAGCGCTGGATGAAGATTCAAGGGGTTCCCTGATAAAGGACTCCAAGTGTTAACGTGCCGTTTGGCCCTGACCCTCATTTTAACAGCAAAAAACGTTATTGTCAAATAATCTTAAATGTTAATTTTATAAATGAGGAAGTGACGTTTTCCTTACCTCAGAAAATTCTTCCTGATTTTCTTGTGAGCTTTCCTTGCTGATTTTGTTAGTTTTGGGCTAGAGTAAAAAATGTTATATTATTTTTCCTTTTTAAATTTCATTTTAAGGCCCGCAGCACCACTTCTGAACTCCAACAATGAGAAGATATCATCAGATCCCAGTCCTGAAGCCAACAGTCATTATGGTACAATCATGATTTCCTAAAGCTGCAAAGTTTTTCCCAACTTGCTACCTTTCCTTTCTTAGGAGCAGAATCTGTAGGTAAACCCATGACCATCAAGTGGAATTCCACCTCATAGTGACCCTATAGGACAGAGTAGAACCGCCTCCATAGGGTTTCCAAGGCTGTAATCTTTATGGAAGCAGACTGCCACATCTTTCTCCCCCAGAGCAGCTGTTGGATTCGAACCACTGACCTTTCAGTTAACAGCTAAGCACTTAACCCCTGTGCCACCAGGGCTCCTAATCTGTAAGTCACCAAACCAAACCTGTTACCGTGGAGTCACTTCAGACTCATAGCGACCCTATAGGACAAAGTAGAACTGCCCCATAGGGTTTCCAAGGAGTGCCTGGTGGATTCGAACTGCTGACCTTTTGGTTAGCAGCCGATCTCTTAACCTCTGCACCACCAGGGTTTCTAATCTGTAGATAGTGGTGTTAAAATTGGAAGAGCACTCACTCTCATCAGTCACTGAATAGTGAGCTAACAAACAAAACAAAAGCTTAAAAAGAAAGGCAGAACGCTTTATTTTCACCACCTTGTAAACATCCTGAAGAATGAAGGATGGAGAATAATTGTAATGCCATTGACACCAATCATGTGTTGCCTTCAGAGGCTTTGAATATTGCCAAGGTAGAGTTGCGGTGAGTCAGAATCAGTACATAACAACAACAACCGCTCTCCATTTGTAAAACCGAGACCAGATATCAAATTAAGGCATTCGTAAAGCACCTTCTCAGATGAAATTATTATAAGAACGAGATGGTTTTATTTCAAACTTGCCACAAAGGGAAACCAATTTAAAAATTTTGCTTAGTAGAGGTATTTAAAAAAAAAAAGGGGGGGTTCAATAAAGGAATTCCTGGTTATGAGGCTCATCACAGCAGGGTAAGTAACAAATCCCAGGGGGTTTTCATCTCATTAAGTCTATGAGAAAATTGCTCAAGCGTTTTAGCAGGAATCTGAGTTACTTCCCAGAGAAGGCTGTGATTATATCACACAAAAAGTTCTGACGCAAACCAGATTTGGAGCAATTTCCTTTATCAGCAAGTTGGAGCAAAGAATGTCTATGCTCTTTTCTAATTCTGTGACAATGCCCCACAAAATAAGACATGTTGAGGATATGTCTTTTACAAGGCAGGGTGTACTTGGAAAATCTATTTTGAGAGTTCAGCAGTTCTTATGGTACTGAATCATAAACTTTAAAAAAGTGAATTAAAACATTTGTAGTCACAAATATTTAATGCACCAATAAAAAGGAAAGAGCAAATATATTATTTAAGAAACTATTCAGAAAAATTTTGGTGAATATTTAGCAAAAAGTAAACCAACGCCGTAAAGAAAATAATACATTTAGTGAGTAATTTATATATTTATATGCAAGTACAGAGATACTGAAATTAAATGCTGATATAGATTTATATTAAAGTAGGGTCCCACCCCCCAAATTTCCAAAATGCAAGAAATACTCCAATTTTTATTATATTGTCCCTGCATGGATTAGTTTGTTTTATAAATATATTTTAATCATAACAGTACTTAGTTTAAATGCATATTGGAAAACCATGTGTTCTTCAGGAGGTGTTAATAATATTTATAAGAATCTTTTTAATAAAAACCACTAGATAAAAAAGGAAAATTTTTTTTGTTGTTTCTGAAACTCACTGAGGTGGCAGCCTGGAGGTGCTGCTGCTGCTTTAAATCATGTTCTCATGGTTCCATTTCTCCAGCTGGAAGGAGAGGGCTTGTTCACCTCTCCTGTTTGTGGATACTGGCCAGTCTCTTCAAGAACGTACTTTCTAAAAACTTGTTCAATTGGATAATTCTGAACCATAAATAGAAGCCCCTCTCCCATGGGATGGTAGATTTTCCACTGGTGTTAGAAAAAGAAAGAGACCACATAGCGGGTCAGATGGGACCAAAGAGGGAGGAAGGAAGGATCCAGACTCCAGACGCATTGCCACTGCTGCCTGCCAGCTACACCTAGAAAATTATGCTTGACATCCTGTGAGTGGCACTGAATTTTCAAAGAGTTACAGAAAACTAGAATTTCCATTATCACTCATCCTAATTAATCATAATTTTTTTCAACTAGGTTGCAATGAAGATGTTGGAAACCATGCAGTGAAATCATTAGATGAAAATAAAGGTAACTATCTAATTAACTATTTTATTAGAAACCTTTCCATTAAGAAAACCTATAGGAAAAAAAAAAAAGTTAAGACCCATGGATATTTTCCCACCTCTGTTAATGACCCTGTAACTGGCTGTCATGTAAAATGGAGACAGCTAGATGCTTCCTCCAAAGAGCCTGTGTCCTTTCTGGGAAATGAACCCAAAGTCCGGTAGGAAAGAACTGAGTTATAACTAAAGAGGAAACTTCTGATGGGGACAGTTATAAAAATCCAAGAAGGGGCTAGTGAATGGATTATAGCATTGCTTCTTTTGGGTGGTGGAGAGGCATGTCTTTTTTCAATGGCATTGCTGTTTATTTTTTAAGACAACATATCACTTGCTTCTGCCCAAAGCTCAGAGGGATTGGGCTCAATCATTTTTCAAAAATTCCTTCTTGCTCTTAGCTGCCATCATGGGGGCTAAAGCTGTTAAAGAAGCAAAAGAATTCTGTGAACACCCCTCTGCATCCTTAACCATGGCAGAGTCACTGTTTTACTTGCTGACGAGAAACCCAGATTCTTTTGGGCTTTCAAAACAAAACATTAATATTTTAGTTTAAGACAAACTAGTAGTTTACTAGATCTCATAGTACCCTGAATGATTTTGTTAACTTGATTTTCCATGAGTATGCCTCCTGCTCTCAAAGAATTTTTGAGGCTGGTGACCTGCTCCCCATTTCCTGAGACCCTTTCAACCTTGAGGCTAGCTAGCTTTCTATGCCCATGGCGTGGAGAAGGTGTCCAGCATTTCAAGTGAGACTGAACTGGGTTATCTGCTGTGGCCCATACTGGGCTACTTCCTGTATCTACACACACACACCATGTGCCATCAGGTCAATTTCAACTCATGGTGAACCCATGTGCGTCCAAGTAGACTGTGTTCCATAGGGTTTTCAGTGGCTGATTTTTCAGAAGTAGGCTGCCAAACCTGTCTTCTGAGGCACCGCTCTGTGGACTCAAACCTCCAACCTTTCCGTTAGCAGCCAAACATGTAAGACATTTGTACCATCTAGGGACTCCACTTTCTCTATTACTGACCTTTTAAAAATCCTCCCACCATGAAAACAAAAGGGACCAAAGGTCCTTCCGCACCCTGGGTAGCTGGGTAGGGGCAGTCAGAGAGGAGATCACTATCCCTAGAGACTTGTTTGGAATGGAGTTCATAGCCCTGTGTCCGCCTTCCTCCTCAAAATACGGAATAATTTAACAATGTGAATGAAAATCTCTAATGCGGGCTGAGGCCCCCGAAGGAGATTCTGTCTAAACTCAGGGCGCTGTGGTTCCTTTGAGCAGAGGATCTGAACTTGGACGTGGAGTACACAGAAGTGGAAGTGTCCTCACCTGACCCTCACCGAGGTAATACCACTCCCTCGGGGGATTTCCATACCTGCTCTTGGCTTGGGTGTAAACGCTGGGTTGGGGTGGGGGGTGGCGCCGAAGGGAGGTGGTTGGCAGAGGGCTCCAGACCAGGCTTTGGGGTATGAAATTTCATTAATTATTATTCATGATACTACTAATAATGGCTAACATTGAACTTTCACTGAGTAGCAGGCAATTACTAAGAGCTAAGCCATTTGTTTCTGTCGGAGACTTTCTGAGGGAAGCCTTGCTCCCGGGTGTTTGGGCTTTCTTCCAGAGGGACCACCCTTGCCCAAACCCAGTGTGTTCCCGAAAGAGTTGCTTGCAGACTGAGCTTCTATATATTAAATGCATTTTTAAGGTCTCAAGGGCTTTGCTATTTAAAGGGACACTTGGGTGAAGGCTTTTGAAAGCAAAGGATCCCTTTCTGTATGAACGGTGGCACTGGTTTTATGCCTCAGGGTTTGTGATTTTTGGTTTTTTTTTAAATATGCTCTGTTCTTTACAGCAGTTTTAGGTTTACAGATCAGGTTTTGTTCCTATGCATGTGGTTCTCTCAGGGGCAGGCAAGCCTGGAATTCCCTATCTCCGGTTCTATGCTGGGAGACTGACTCACGGTGGGCTGGCCTACAGCACATGCTAGAACATCAATCTCAGTTGCTTTTGACACCACAGGAAAACATGCTTATCCTTACTCTCCTCCACCTTAGCTTACCCAGAGGCGCGGTTCCTGCATACTCAAAGGAAACAGCTATCCAGAGCCTTCCTGTCCTGCTGGGGAGCTCCTTGGGGCTACCGGCATCCATGCCTTTCCTGCGGAGGCTATGACCATCGTGTCCACACAGCCAGGCAGGCCTGGGGCAGTTTTTGGGCTCAGCCTGTGTTGCATTAGCCAGAGCCACATGGCAACAGCATCCTGAAATTGGCTTTTATTCCATGATCCAGGAGGAATTTTGGGTCCTTTCCTTCTTCCTTTGCTTAGCCTGATGCCTGGCACCATGTCAGCAGGTGCAGGCACAGAACTTTCCAGACTGGGCTCTCCTGTACAGCCCAGAGGCGGTACACTGCACATTTCAGGGCCACGATTCCACAGTCTACAATTGGAGTAGCCCCTAGAGTGTGCACTGCTCAATTTGCACAACCACTTCCAGATCTAGAGGGGGACATAGCAGAGCTGAGGTCCGCGTCCTCTGTATCTCATTGCAGAGTGATTCACTTGCTGGTTTAATAGCAATTAAGGGACCACAGTGTACCAGCCCCTGTGTGAGCAGCAAGGGACACAGTAATGAAAAAGGCACATGTTGTGTGAAGGGAGTCTATGAAGGAGACAGGAAATCACAGAACCACAGAATAAGTATATAGTTTCAGATTATAGTAAGTTCTCAGAAGGAAAAGAAGGCATAAAATGTGCCACTGCTCTGGCTCAGGTGGTCCCGGGAGGCTTCTTTGAAGGGGCAGCATTTAAGTTGGGGCCTGAAGGGTACAAAGAAGGGCCCCACCAGAAAATGGGAAGGGCAGTATGAGGCCGCACAGAGCTTGGCTCATTTAAGGAGCTGAAAAGAGGCCTTCGTGTCTGCAGAGAGAGCGTGAGAGGGAGAGGAGGGGGTGAAGCTGGGGAGGAAGGGAGAGGGGTGGAGCACAAAGACTGTTTACATTCCATTCCAAGTGATGAGGGAGTCATTGGAAGGCTTTAAAAAGCAGGGAAGTGATAGGATCCAACTTGTTTACAAAAGATCCTGGTGGCTGCTGTGGAGAAGGGATTGAAGGAGGTGAGAATGGAAGTAGAGAGTCCAATATGTTATCATCAGGCGAGAGGAAATGAGCGTGAAGCTAAAATGCTGGCAATGGATGGATTTAAGATGTATATTTTGGAGACGGACTGCAGCGCTAGATGAAGAATTTAATGGCTGGGATAAGGGAGGCAGAATTATTAAATGTTTCTTGATTGAGCAACTGCGTGGATGGTTGTGATGTTGCTACTGGGAGGAACAGGCGCGTAGTAAGGTCTGGTTCAGCTGGGGACATGTTAAATTTGAGATGCCTGTGAGACCTCCAAGAGAAGATGGCACTGAGGTCTGGTGCTCGGAGACCGGTCTGGGTGGGCTGTGATGGATGGGACTGGAGCAGGCTCCTGCCAGCCTTCCCTGGCCCAGCCTGAGCCCAGTACAAGCTCTCCATCCATCTGAGCAATATGAGGTTGGCCCCATGGCAACAGCAAGCTTCCTCTTAAGGACTTCAGGTCTGGAAGGAAAGGGGACTGATAACAACAGGGCAGAGCTGCCCAAAGCTTTTGAATGTGCTTTGGAAAAACCCTGCTGTCTTCTTCATTCTTTCCCCTCCACATTCCAGGGAGCAGTTAAGCAGATTCCCTTTGGCTGCCTGCCCTGGGCTCTGGCATGCTGCCATTGGGGCACTGAGATTCCAATACTTTCTGCAGAGGGGCAGGTCCTGCCTTTGCTCCCTGGTGGCTGGGCCAGGATGGGGTGGAATCATAAGGATGACTGGAAGACTTCCGATTTAAGGAGGCTGAAGAGATGGCAGGGTTTTGTCCTTGGAAAACTGTCCATTTCCCATGGTGGTGCGTCCTCCTTTGGGAATGTTTCCGTGTTAGCACGGAATGGTATTCTTTCTCTTGCTTAAAGGCAGGGAGGAGTTGATGGGAAAAGAAGGGTGTTTCCATCTCCTAGGATGGGGCAAAGCAAGACCAGTCAGCCTGCACATGCTTAGCCTTAGCCAAGCTGCACGGCCACAGGGTTGTCTCCACCCAACTAACTGGCCACCTTTTCCCAATCTGCAAGAAGACCCTATGGGCTGCCAAGGCCGTAGGTAGAGCTAGGATGATGGTCACTTTGGTGGAAATGGAGAGCTTCTAGAGGATTCAAGTGGTGTTCTCTAGACCCAGGCGCCTCCTTGGCAGCTAGGGGGTGGGGGGTGGTAGGAGGCCTGAGCCTCCGATGTTCTCCCCTTTCCTTCCCATGTGGGCAATACGTGTTACTAGGTGAGGAAGGGGCTTTGTGGTTCAAGGCTAGCGATGAGGAAACTTGACCTGGTTTTGGCCATCCCTGTGCCCTGTCCTCCAGGTGCCCCCTCCTCCACAGCTCAGTGGAGGAGGAGGCAGGCGCCGTGTCCAGCTCTTAACCCTGGCTGGCAGGGGACCAAGTGGTCACTTGGGGTGGGGGAGGGCCGGAAGGAACTTGTTAAATCACGGTTTGCTGCATGTTTGCCCTGAGACTGATTGCTGGGAAAACCCCATGACGTTGGAGCCATTTCTTTCTCTGTTAAAACAGAGAAAAACAGAAGCCAAAATAAAGCTACATCCGGAAACACCCCTGACAGCGGAGACAAACACCCTGTTAGCCTGGTTTAGTCATTAGCGGGCAGCTGCTGCTACTGGGCAGCAAGAGGAGGGGGGTCTGTTGATGAGGTGCACACACACACGCACACACACACACAGGCATACTCGAGTGTGTTCACACTCACGTGCGCGCACACACACACATGCATGTCCACATGCACACACGTGCACATGCATGAGCACACACACACACACATACACACATATCACTGACCGAGGCTTAACTAGGAGGGCAGCAATAGAAAACATGGGGGTGCTGCAGAGGCCCTGCCCGGGAGAATGGCCTCCTCTAGCAGCTCAATCAAGAATTAGAAACCACCCCTGCTGCCCTGGCTGATAACACCGAGTCAGAAAGTACAAGTGAGTCTAGTGTGGCTTCTCAAGTACAGAAGGTGTTAGAGGGCCCCCAAGGTGGCAAGAAAGGCCTGCTGGCCGTCCCTCTTGGGCCTGGGGCCCAAGACTTGGCCCTTAGCCCTCTTGACCCAGTCATTCCCCACCCCTGCCTCCATCCATCCCCCACCTCCTCGGCACTGTGAGGATGGACCAGAGGATAAGCCAGCGTGACCCCAGTGCACCTTGAACACTGCTAAAGCTGGGAAATGGCCCTCCTGGAGGTGGGCCCTTGTGGGGCTGGGTGGGGGAGCCCCAGACATGTTCCTGCTTCAGCAGCAGGCTGGCCTGGTACCCAGAGGCGGCTATTGACCTGTGACTGGTCCCTTTTCCAGCTCCGGAAATCAAAGGCACAGAGACGGTGTACAGTGAAATCCGGAAAGCTGACCGTGGTGAGTGAAAGTCCCCCAATTCCCCCTGCCTCGGGGGGGTGTCCCCCAGAATCAACCAGTGGTGGGCCTTGGGACTGCACAGGGAAGAGAAAGCCAGGGAGGCTAAAACGGAGCCCCAACCCCCTCTCACCCCGGAGTTAGGTTACACTTACTGCGCATTTAGTCCACGAATGCTTATCGAGTGGCTGCGTCTCAGGCAAACAAAGCCTTGTAAATTTTCTCCCAACTAATGGGAAATTTCTCATCATTCAGGCCAGTAGGACTGGAGTGTGTCCTAGCACCGCTGCGTGCTCATGGAAGGCACTCCCTGTCCCTAGAGACTCAGCACTGCCGGCCTAGTCTCAGCTGCCAGGTAGGGAGCCTCACCTGCTGCCCACCTGGGCGCTGCTGGCTGGGGCTCCCGAAAGGCTTAGAGAAAGGAAGTGCTTTGTTCTGAAGATGTTCAAGAGAGTCAGCCTTTCCAACAGGAGACTGCCTTGGGTTGGGTAGGGGGTACTATTCGCTCCCATTTCCTTGCATTTCTGCCCAGACCCTACTTCCGTTCCCATCATGCCGTACTTTCTCATTGAAGAGCTACCCCACAGGACTGACCACAGTGCCCAGGCAGACATGGCACTAGCTGGTGGCACTCCCAACAATTTCATTTTTTGTAGAATTAGTGCATTCAATTCTGTTAAAATGAAATCCACAAAGACTACTTATAAATTCTGAAAATAAATCGACAATCCAAAAGACGTAAACATTCTGGGGGAAATAGTAGCTTTGTGAATATCTTACTTTGTACAGTAGACCCCCATCTCTCTCCACCGAGACCAGGGGGCCTTCCCATCAGAGCCTGGCTGAGGAGGGTGCCCCTGGCCATGCTGGGAGAGGACCCTCAGGCTGGGACAGACTGTAGGTACCTCGAAACTCAATCTGATTTTTTAAATTGGAAAATACCATTTTAAAAAACAATTTAGGAGTGATTTGCTCTTCACTTCCCTTAAATGAGAGCCCTGGTGGCTCAGTGGTTAAGAGCTAGGCTGCTAACCAAAAGGTTGACAGTTCAAATTCACCAGCCTCTCCTTGGAAACACTTGGAGCAGTTCTACTTTGTGTTATAGGGTTGCTATGAGTTGGAATCGACTCGATGGAAATGGGTTTGGTTTTTGGATTTTTTCCCTTATGTGAGTGCTTCTCATTTACTGATGGGCCTCAGAGCCATCCGGGAGCTTGGTAGAGCTCAGATTCCAGAGATTCTGAGGCCGTGGGTCTGGGCTGGAGTCCAGGAGCAAGCTCAGGGGTGGGGAGCCGTGGCTTTGCTGGGAAACATCAGCACCCTCCTGGTGTGCTGCTCAGCAGCTCGGTGCCTTTGGCCAAGGTGCCTGACCCCTCTGACACTCATATTTTCTCAGCTGTGGAATGGGGATAGGATTAAATGAGAAAAGGGGTTTAGATAGGATCACTGGAGAGGGTGTAATTATCCTAAGCACACGATAAGTGTATTATCCCTAGCATATCTGAAGCATTCAGTTTTAGCTTAAAAACACAAGGAACTTGAAGCCTAGAGAGGTTCAGTGCCTTGCCCAGCACAGGACACCTAATGGTGGGGGGAGGTAGAACCATGTCCCCCAACCCCTGGCCAGGGTGCTCCTACTGCACCGGCTGGGCTGTTGGGGTTCGCTGGGGCTCAGTGAGAGCTTGAGTCCCTCTGTACTCTGGTCTCTAACCTGGCAGCCCACCCCTACCCAAGGGCTGAGGGTAGAGTGACCCCCCACCCTCCTCCTCCTACTCCTCGAGGGACCCGTGGCCACAGAACTGCAGTTGACTAAAGCTGGTGCCCCACCTCGCCTCAGGGCTCCCTTCCCATCAGGCCCTGAGCATTTCCCTTCAGGTGCTGTCCAGGCAGAGGAGGTCCAGGCCTTGGCTGAGTCCTCCTTCCCTGTTTCTCCTTTCCTTTCCTCTTACTTCTTTGCTAAAAAGCAGACATCCGTTTGGGGCATTTCTGTCCTTAGTTTCCTGGGACTTTCTTAGATAAAACCATCTTCTTTGGAACTCACTTCCCACCTCTCCTGTCTTCTCCCCCAAAAGCAGACAGATATGTTCTCTAGTCCAGGGAAAGCCAGGTGATTCTCAAAGAAGCCATACTCTTCTACCCTTATAATCTGCGTCCCTCCAGCTTGTCGCACGCTTGTCCTTCATGCTCCTGTGTTCAAGCTCCCACCAGCTTAAGGATCTTCAACATTTCTTAAGCAGCGTCATCTCAGCTGGCATTTGGGGTTCCCAGATTCTTGCTCTGGGTACGACTCCATCTCTATAGACTGCAAATCTCTTTTATTACGTGTCGATTTTGTTCCTCCCTACTTGCTAATTCTCCTTAGGTTTGGAGAGTCCATTTCGCCTTTGTTATAATAGCTAGCATGATTGAGCACTCTGTGTATGAGGCACTGCTTGCAGGGCTTTACATTATTAGCTCATTTAATCCCCGAAGAACCCTCTGATGGAGGCGCTATCATTATTTCTGCTCTACAAGTGGGGAAATGGGGTACAGAGGTTAAGTCACTTGTCTGTGTCTCAAAGTCACTTTAAGTGGCAGAGCAGGGATTTGAACCCAGGGACTCTGGCTGCCCAGCAGGTGCTCATCACGAGTCTTCCTCATGAGTCCTCACACTGCCTCTCCTTTTTCCCCTAAAAGTTGACTGTATGCATCCACATGTTCCATGTTTCTCGGTTTGGTTTCCATGTTATCATCAGCTTCATTAGAGAATTCAACTCTGTATACTTTGGGAGTTAAGAGTGACTGTCTTGTGGACCCTGGGCAAGTCGTGGGACCCCTGGGGCCTTAGTCTCCTTCTCTGTGAAATGAGGGGGATGGACTAGAATCCAGATGGATGGTTCTCAGGCTTATTCAAACACAAAATGCTGCCCCTATGCCCTCCAATTCTGATTCTGCAGGTCTGAGGCGGGGCTGAGCATGCATTTCTAACAAGTTTTCACATGATGCTGATGCTGATGCTGGTGGTCTGGCGCCCATACTTGAGAACCACTACTGTAAATGCTACCAGAGTTCCCTTCAGATTGTACCACTCTAAGGTTCTGCTCTGCTTCTTGTTTGAATGACTAGGTCTTTCTTATGCCTCAGAAATCCTGGACGGATCTCTCAGGGTTGGGTGGCAGGGATAACCCAGACACATTGTGTGTGTGTGTACGTGTGTGTGTATGTGTGTGCATGTGCATGCATGTGTGTGTGTGTGTGTTTGGCGGGACAGATAACTGAGCAGGCTGGGTGTGGAGCAGGGTCTTATCTGACCTCTCCTTCTCCCCACCTTAATTTCTCAGTTCCCCACCATTTTCCAACCAGTGGCACTTCAGGGCTGACTGTTTTGGGAAATGGCGTCACAGGGTGTAATTCTGGCTCTTAAACTGTATTTTCTTCCTTGAGTGTATGATACAAAGGAAAACCACTCCACTACATAAACAAAAGGTCATCGGGCAGGCCGGCCTCCAAGGAGCAACCCCAGGGCAGGGCATGCAGAGAGGGCTCTGGTAGGACTTGGGCCCTGGAGAGATTGTTGGGGGCCTGCTGGCTGGGGAGGTAACAGTCTCCATAGGGGAGCTTACAGGCGCTGGGAGGCGTCTGTCTTCCGGGTCTTTGCAATCTTGGCTTCAGGCTCTAAGCTCAGTTTTTTTATCTGTTAAATGAAGTGGCTGGGCCAAATGATCTGAAGTTCCTTTCCAACCATAACATGGGGAGAGTCTCAGTGTCCTTACATTTGAGAAAGTGAAAGTCAGCTGCCTGTGCCTTGGTCACACCAGACCCATCGCCCTGAACATGTTGGAGGGAGGTCAGGCACTTCCAAGAGTCTGCCTCCAGGTCCCTTTCAGCCAATCCAAATCCTTTACACACCCCACTTCCCCCTTGACTCCAAGACCCCACAGGTCTTATTGCACCTAAGCCTGACTAAGATTTCCCTTCCAATCTGAATCAAGTCATGGATCTATCTCAAAGGCCACCTTATGGGTTTCTGCTGCATTCATGTTGGCCAGAGTCTGAAATGGATGGTTCTCTGTACCAGGAATGAGTCCCTGAGTGGCACAAATCATTAAGCCCTTGACTAATAACTGGAAGGTCGACAGTTTGAACCCGCCCAGAGGCCCTCGGAAGACAGACCTGTCAATCTGCTTCTGAAAGGTCACTGCCTTGGAAATCCTATGGAGCACAGTTCTACTCTACAGCACATGGGGTCACAATGAGTCAGAATCACCTTGAGGGCAACTTGTTTTTGGCTTTCTGTACCAGAAACCTGCTGGAAAACATCCTAAGGCAGAGATGGAGACAGAAGTTCTGGTGTCAGCTGTGCCCTTAGTGAGTGACGTGACTTGGTCCCCAACCCTCATGTCTCCCTCGGGCATCAGTTTTCACATCAATTCTCAATAAAATGCTTCTGATCTGGGCAAAATTGGTGCAGAGTGAACAACCTCAGTGTCCCTCGGGTGTGTGTGGTGGCCCTCAGGTGGGTAAGGGTGAGTGGTGGGCAGGTGGAGTCTAACTCATCACAACTCATTAATTGCCAGGGAGGCTCTAGGACTACTCAGAACCTGGAATTGCCGTGAAGGGCCAGCTTAGACTCCAGAAAAATGGTTCACAGGGGACTCCTCATTCTCTAACCCTGTTTCCAGCATTAGCCAGCTCTCTGGGGCCAGCTCCTTCTCAATCTCTCCTGGTGGTGTTGACATGGAGTAGTAATGGGCTGAGGTGTGCCACTAAAGAGCCAGGGGGCCTTGGGGTAGTTACTCCCCTGTGTGAACCTCAGATTTTTCATCTGTAAAGTGGGGAGGAAGGGAGCATCTCTTCCCACTCCAGCATTCAATGATTCCCTCTGGGTCATGGCCAAGGTTATGCAAGTCTGCTATTCTACCTGGAGCCTGTTACTTTGTTGACACACAGCTAAGCTAACATCTTATCCCTGCAATTAGCTCTTAGTCTAAAGTGAGGAAACATATCAGTCTTTCAGCTTTTTCCCTTTCCAGCTGCTAGATGATTCCTTGCTACAACACATGCCCTGCCTGTTAGGGAGGAAAGGAAAAGAGTTCTCAGAGCTAGAAATATTGTATAAGAAACACACTGAATTGAGACAGGCCTAAGGAGAAGGGAAAACTAGCACTGGGGAAGCTAGAGGAGGCTGAGAAAGAGCTTTTGCATTTCAGTTGCCTTATGCTTTCTAAGGAAGATGGACAAAATGCTGATAATTTCCTTATAATACTTTAGATTTGCAAGTTTAGCATTTTAGGATTTTAAAAATTATTTATTTTTAAATTATTTGCTTAAGAATTTGCAAACCCCAGTCAGCAATAGTAGCCCTAGTAATGAATGACTTATGATGTGATTAACTAGAAGTGGGAAGATTAACCTGTTTTTATATCTCTTATAACAACATAGACGAGCCTTGAAAACATGATGCTAAGCGAAAGAAGCCAGACGCAAAAGACCACATATTGCATGACTCCCTTTATATACAATGTCCACAATAGGCAAATCCTTAGAGACAGAAAGGAGATTAGTGATTGCCAGAGGCTTGGGGGGGGGGGGGGGGTAGGAGGCAGCACACAAGCCTCCACTAAAAGATGGATGGTGGCTGCACATGAGGTGCATTGGCCCAGAATCGAACCCTGGTCTCCTGCATTGCAGGCGAGAATTCAAAATGTCAATAGTGCCAAGGTTGAGGAAACCCTGGCTTAGAGGAATTTGCCTCCTGTGATTCCTCCAACAGGAATGCTAGTTTCCATCTCAGGATGCCAGCTCTCGCTTTGCCTGTGGCCACCTCGGGAGATGTCGTGGGCACATGCCACCTGATAACTCCCAGGAGGCCCTGGGGAGGCACTAGCCTATGGCTGTGAGTTAGACAGGGCCCACCTCCGCAGTCTGAATGTCTGCTCCATTGCTGGTCCCTCTCTCCTGGCCTTCTACCCTCTGCTTTCTCTTTGCCTGGAATGCAGACTTCCAGGATGTTTCTTAAAGGGGTAGAAACTCTTGGTCCACACTCTCCCTCCCTGCCACCCAGTAAACCTAGAGTGACTGGGCTAGGGCAGCAATGACAGGAAATGGTCATCAAGAAAGAACCAAAGGACAGGAGACTTCTGTGCCAAGTCCCATTGGGGGGCGGGGGAAGAGAAGGAGCAGCAGCACTAAAGGGTCAATCCCCACCCATCCTGCAAGGCCCAGAGCAAGCCAGCCAGTGACACTGCCAAGCCTACCCCCAGGGTGGCGTTTCCCACTTCAGAAGACAAGATGGTAAAAGGCACCCCATGAAACAAATGGATGCAACCCACCAGATTCTATCTTTATGGTGGTTGCTCTGTTCCCAAAAATGATCAAAAACTACAAACACATTTTCTGATGCTTCCTTTAATCCAAGTGTGCATAGACTTGGCATCTGTCAGATTTATCAGCATATTTGAATTCTTAGTATTTGATACTCGAATTACTTTAGGAAGCACTGCCTGGAGGCCTCTTCCCTCTTGTGTCTGGTTCCAGAGCTCCTGGTGCTTTGGGGGAGCAGAAAGCTCTGGGTCCTCCCAGGTCACATTTGGATGGCGGGTGGGGAGGGTGCAGGAGCCTCACTCAATGTGTGGAAGTTTACACAATAACTCGTCTCGGTGGCCGGCTGATTCATCCATTTGGCCTTTGACGCCCGCCTCTGGCCCAGCCGGGTTAGAAGAGGGGCCCCGTAGGAACTTCTGGCCCTGTTCCCTCTGGAGAGGAGGCACAATGGAGTTGTGATAAGACAGGGTCTGAGGGGGAGGTGGACTTCTGCAACAGGATATTTTTAAATTAGAGAAACAGAAGGGTTGTGACTCCCACCTCCTGCTGTGACGATGTGCCCAGACTGACCGAGATCCAGATGGGGCCGGGTTTGAGTTTGGGGTGGGGGGGCTGGTATAAACTAAGGCCCCTTGGAGAGTTTCCCTTGAGTAAGACAGACGACGTAGGGAGGGGTCACGACCCTCCCACCATTACCTCCACCGCCTTCAAGAACAGCGACCACCCCCAATACCAACTTTGCCTCCTCGGGGCCCTCCTGGCTGCAGATGAGGTCTCTGTAGCTTCTCTAGCTTCAAGCCTGTGTCCATAGATGGGCCATTTGGGGAATCAGCTTCTCTATCTCAGCCATTGATCATTCAGAAACTGTGGCACTGGTGGGGGGCTGGAGGCCTCTTGTCCAAAGGGGCAAACCGTACACCTCTCTTGCCTCATCTAGTGAAAACCGCCTCTCACTAATGCAGGCAGGTACCTCTCACCCGCAAGGCAGTGCTTCCGGTTCATCACCTTTCTCAACACCTCTCTCAACTTCCTGACATTGACCAGGGCCATGGTCATGGCTGCAGCTGGCAGGGCCAGCCAGTCCTCCCACATGCACATTGGCAAGAGGATGGTGTGGGCTCCTGGACAGTCCAGATGAGACTCCCAAGAGGAGGGGATGTGGTGGCCAGAGAGCACATGGCCATGTGTGCCCAGAGTATCAGCAATGTCTGTAGCTTCTGCTCTGGTGATCCCACTCCTGGGAATGGATAGACAAAATAATGCGCAATGGGGAAACAGCTTTCCCAAAGAGGGTACTGCAGCATTACTTAAAATAGCAAAATCTTGGAAAGAATCTCTATATATTTTTTTAATTTAATGTATTTATTTTGTTGTTGTTGTTGAGAATATACACAGCAAAACATACACCAATTCAACAGTCCCTACGTGTACAATTCAGTGACACTGATTACATTTTCGAGGTGTGCTACCATTCTCACCCTCCTTTTCGGAGTTGTTCCTCCCCCATTGACATAAACTGACCACCCCCTAAGGTTCCTATCTTATCTTTCAAGTTGCTGTTGTCAATTTGATCCCATATAGATCTTAAAAGAGCATCATGCTCAAGGCAGGCGTTTTTTTACTAGTTAAGCCAATCTATTGTTTGATTTTTAAGAAGACTTCAGGGGATATTTTTGGTTTGAGGTTTAAAGATTATCTCAGGGCAAAGAACCTCTATTTTTAAAAAGAGGAATTGGTTAAGTAAACAGTGACACATCCACTTAATGATTATCATGGACCACTAACAGTGATGTGTATGAAGGTGCCAGAAAATGTTTATAGAATCATGTTAGGGAAAAAGAATAGAAAATATCATATACAGTATAACTGTTTAAAAAACGTAAGCCCTAACCATAGAAGAAGATGACTGGAAGAAAATACATCAAAAAGTCAGCAGCATTTGGAAAGTGGGACCAGAAATGATTTTTATGTCCTTCTTTCTACTTTCTGTAGTTTTCAATTTTTTCTTTTTAAAAAAACAATGCACTACCACTTTTTTGAAAACTGTTAAAATGTCAAATGAGGTGCTGGAGACTTTATATGCCTGTCATGTGGAACCACAGAGTCCCGAGGAGCCAGTCTGGGCAAAGGAACCCTAACCCTGAGCACTGCATAAGCTGGAGGCGCCTGGTGTCTCCTGCGCATCCCCCCGCAACCCCTTCCTGAGTGCCTTCCAGCCCCTGAGATGTTGGTGAGGAAGCTTAATCTGTGTTCTGTGCTTTGCTCACCTCCATGTTGTCCTTTTCTTTACAGATTTCATGGAAAACAGATGCTCTGTAAGTACTCATTTCATATACATTATTTTAAAAATAGTCCACTGAACAGTGAAATATTTCCAGGCTCACCCAGGTTCTACATTCCCATCAGTTTTCCCCTGTCCTGACCTCTGCTCTAGACCAGGAGCCCTGGGCTCCTCTGACCAGCCTGGGTGGGTGGACATTTGGGTATCAGGCTAACCACGTTTACTGGGCCAGTTCTGATTTCAGATCTTCTCTTCCACTGTTTCCATCAGGACATCTCAGGAAGGGAAACCCTGGAAATACCCCCCATAGGATTGGGAATCTAGGGTACTTAGCTTTGAATGAGTGAAGTGTAACTTTCTTCCCAGCATAGGGTCTAGGCTTTGGAAGTGAGGCAGGCTGGGGTTGGGGGCCTGCTTGGGTGAGCAGACCATCCAACAGCTCTTTTCAACTCAGCAGTCTATGCAGAGCCCCCCTACATACCAGATGCTACATTGGAAGAGGCCTCAGTTTTCTCGTCTGTAAACTGGGGATAATAAAACTCCCTCACCTGGTTGTTGCAAGGATTAAATGAGGGCCTCGCACAGGCCTGGCTCATTGCAAGTGCCTTGGCCCTAGGAGTTCATAGTCGAACGAGGGAATCAGATGTTATCACTGACTGTAAAGGTGGTGAAAGCAGCTACACCAGTGACATGAACATAGGGGAACACAGAAGAGGGGTGCTTCATTCCACTTGGGTCAGAGGTCTCTTCACCAAGGACCAATCATTTGAATAGGCCATGCAGACGGAATCCGATGACAGCAGCGTCCTGGCAGGAGCAAAGGCCTGGAGGGATGACAGTGGTTGTAGGCAGCTGGGAGTGGGAGAGGAAGAGGGTGCAGGTGAGAAGTGATAGGGGAAAGGTAAGCGAGGGCTTGAACCTAAAGGACCATGAATGCTACGTTCAGAGGTTTAATTCTGTAGGATGTAGAGGATTTAGGAAGCTGCAGCTTGGAGAGTGAGAGGGCTTGAGAGAGATACAGAGGCCTGAGTTTAAATCCCTGGCTCCAAATTGGAATTTTGCAAACATCCCCCTCTTCCTGTCTTCCCACTCCCAACCTTTTTGTGAGCTACCCAGCAATGCAGGAGTTAACTGAGCAGCTATTATCTGAAGAAATGAGGAACATGCCTCATAAACAGCGTCTGGGAGAAACTTTCTAGGACAGTTCTCAGCCCTTCCAGCGGGCCCTTGGCTTCCTTTGTTTTGCCCAACTCTGAATTCTTGTGAAGTAGAACTCATTACGCCTTTGACAGAGAGGAAGCCACTGATATTCTTTTTGTGGAAGAAAACTACCAATTTAAGAAAAAAAAGGAATGAAGTGAATGTCTTTTTCTAGCCTAGACCCAGATTCCTGAAATCAGAGACTGGCACCCGAAGGACAGGGATCCTACTTTATAGATGGGGAAACCAAGGCCTGGGCTGTGAAAACAACTTACCCAGGGTCACCTGGCCATTAGTAAAAGAGCCAGGACTAGAACAGGGGTCTTCAGACACCTGTCCAGTCTCTGCCTACAACATAAGACGCCCGGCAAGGAGTGGTGTCACTTCCCCAGCAGTCATGGAAAGCAGGCGTTCTGCCCTATGGACAGGGTGGGACTGAGAGAAATTCGTTCTCTGACTTTGACAAACATGGCTATGTCCACCAAAGGCAGATCTGCTGCTGCCAGCAAGAAACACCATGTGGGACCAACTTACTTACTTTGTCCTCCTTCCAAGGGACCTCTCTGGACAAAGGCTCCGAGCTCCAGGCCAGACAGAACTTTCCCTTTCCCCAGGAACAGGCCCGCGAGCCCAGAAGTCTGCTCCCAGGATGTGGCCCTAGCTGGTCCTGTCCCCCAAAATAATCAAGCTGTTTGGCAGAGCACAGGGCTTCCCAGCTTTTGGGAAATGGGTTTTGAATCTTTAAGCAAATGGATTTTGTTTGTAAAAGAAACAGGTATAGTTCCCTCATAATCAGCTGGTGAGGTTCAGCAGAAAATTAATCGAATTGCTCAGCAGGGAAATGGGAGGAGATTTCCTTCCTGAAATCAAACCTGGCAATCATTCCCGGTTGTTTAATGGCCGTTGTTTCTGAAAACATATTGAAGGAAATATGTTAACAATGAGCCAGCCACTTAGCCAAATACTAATTTGGTATTGTTTGACTTGCTTCAATAGTACATTCTGACTTCATTTTTCCTCTGCCATTTTTGCCTTGTTTATAAATTGTGTTTGCTGCCGACGCAGACAGATAACGTGAAAGAGATCACGCTGTACTTAAAGGGGGGAATCTGGGCCTGTGCTGGTCTCAAGATCTTGGAGCGAACCCTGCCTTCTTACTGAAAAAGGCCATTCCCAGTTCGGCTCACCTGCCTCCCTCCTGGTCAGCAACAGGCAGCTGGCTGCAGTGGAGGCAGCCTAGGACTTGAGGTCAGGGGACTTGGGCATGAGTTCCAGCTCTCCACCCACCTTTTGGGTGATCTTATCTTTCTCAAACCTAAGCTTCCTCATCTATAAACTGGACACAATGATAATAGTAACAATAGTAATAGCTACCTATTGCGGTTTCTTAAGGGTTAAATGAGAAACACATGTGCAAATTACTTTGCAAACTGCAAAACCAAGAAACCAGTTGCCATCAAATCGATTCAGATTCATGGCAACCCCATGTGTGCCAGAGTAGACCTGTTCTCCATCGTGTTGTCAGGGTCTGGTTTTGGGGAAGTAGATCGCCAGGGCTTTCTTCCAAGGCACCTCTGAGTGAACTTGAACACCCAACCTTTCAGTTAGAAGCCAAGCACCTTAACCATTTGCACCACCAAGAGACCACCATATAAAAGCTAGTTCATTATCTATTTTAACACTCTTTTTCATCAAACACTTCTGGCTGCCCATGAAATGCCTCTGCCACACATGTGGAAAGTAGCTGTTGCTTCCCCAAAGCACAGGATCCATCCAAAAACTTGGCTTGCCTCTTGCTAGCTGTTCACTAGCCGTTTGCTAGCGTTCATGTCACATTGGGCAGATTTCTTAACCTCTCGGGGCCTCAGTTTTCTCATCTGTAAACTGGGATAATAAAACTCCCTTACCTGGTTGTTGCAAGGATTAAATGAGGGCCTCGCACAGGCCTGGCTCATCGGAAGTGCTCAATAAGGGGCAGTTTTTGGAAGCAGTAAGTGGAGAGCTCCATGGTGTTGGAAGCAAAATGGGCTTTTAGGGTGTCCACACCAGGTTATGACCAGAAGCAGAGTGATTTCATGGCTGGAGCTGGGTGGCTGACGGCTGGCTTCTGACTTAAGCATAGCAAGCCCAGGCCGTGTATGTGAGCATGTTAGCCTTTACTTGCAAATCCCCAAAGCCCTGTAGACTTTGGCCCAGCCCTTCCAGTCTGTGGGGATGGTCCTGCAGCAGTGCCCCAGCACTGGCTTCCCCCAGAGAGGGCAAGCGGAGGTGTCTAGGGAGGGATTTGGTCTGGGGCCTGGAGAAAGCCTGGACACCCAGAGTCACGTCTCCCTCCTCCTGGTGGAGCGGAGGAAATGAAGGGGCGAGCTTCGCTACCAGGGCTGGCAGGTCTCCACCTCCGGGACTGGCACAACTTTCTTGGCCCTGTTGCTGGGTCTTTCCTGGCAGAAGAGCCAGCTGGGGCCCCTTTGCTCTGCATCCTGTTCGGTGAGGTTCCTCAGACCCAACCCCTCCCTCAGGAAGCCAGCCAGCCTGGCTGTGGGGTTCCCAAGATCCTGGCTGATTCCCTCATCTTCTCCACTCCTGCCTCCTCCTGATCCACAAGCAGCAAGGTCCCTGTGCTCACGGAGGGTCCAGAGAAGTGAACTTAGATGCAGCCTGCTCTTTGGGGCTCCCTGTTGTCCAGGGCCCCCTCTACTCCACAAGCAGCCTTTTCAGTATTTCCCAGCATGCTCCACTCTTCTGCCTCCTTGATCCTTTCTTCCCATCCTCTTGTTAGCCTATTTGTCAAAATTCACCCAACTTTTGGGGCCTGGCTCCAGAGTGTCTTCCCCCGCAGCTTTCTGTGACTCCCTTGCTGCCTAGTCCAGAGTCCTGTCACCATCTCTGAACCCCTTCTATGATTTCTTAGGGCCTCTTCCACCTAGATTTGTTTATCAATTGGTAGAATATAACACTCTTGGGGGTTGGGTTCTTGAATCCTTAGCACAGAGCACAGTGCCTGGGTCAGAGTGGGAGCCAGTCATTGACGGGTGGTTGAGTGGGTGACAGCAAACACCATACGAAGCCATTAGAGAACATTACAAGGTAAGGTTGTATGTGGAATCATATAATTTTAAACAGAAGGACCTTGTTGTTAGCTGTCATTGAGAAAGCGCTGACTCATGGTGACCCCATGCATGACAGAATGAAATGCTGCCCAGTCCTGTGCCATCCCCATGATGGGTTGGGGATTGGACCACTGTGATCCATAGGCTTTTCACGGACTGATTTTCGGAAGTAGATCTGCAGGCCTTTTTCCCCTAGTCTATCTTAGTCTGGAAGATCCATCAGAACCTGTTCAGCATCATAGCAACACACAAGCCTCAACTTACAGATGGCTCTGAGGAGCATTGGCCAGGAATCAAACCCAGGTCTCTTGCGTGGAAGGCGAGAATTCTACCATTGAACCACTACTGCCTCACAGCTGTTGTTAGTTGTCGTTGAGTTGATTCCGACTCACGGGGACCTTAAACATCATTTAATGGGTGGGGGAAGCCGCCGTGCTGGCCGGTGGGGGTCCCAGTGGGTAGGCAGCACTACTTTGGAGTTCCTTTGAGATGTGCTGTCTGCAGTTTTGCACATCTTCCCACAAGGGCAGTCTTCAGTCCTGAAGGGTGTGACCATAACTTGTCTCATCTCTTGTCGCTGCAGAGAACGGAAGGCTCCCTTGATGGTACTTAGGACGGGAGGGCAGATGCTAACCCTGGGAGGACGTCCACATTCCGAGAAGAGCAGATGATTCCCGTATTCCAAGAGCTCTGTGCACTTGTTTATGAACCTGCCCTGCTCCCAGCAAACAAAGCAATTCCTCAGGCCAAGCCGCCAGTCCTTAAATCCCTCCTACTGCATTTATGTTGGGTATAAAGAGATACGGAGGGGATGTTTAATCCCCCACAAGGGCCACCTGCCACCGAGCGGAGCCTCGCTCCCCGACTCCTGGAGCTGGGCAGTGGAAGCAGCAGAAGGAGGTTCAGGGTAAACAGGCCATTGGGATACTTTGAAACTTGAATATTTTGTCTTGTACAGAGATAAAGAACTTCTCCAGATGCCCTCATACACAGAAACCTGCTTTTGTTTCATAGTCAATCACTTCTAGCACATGGCCTGGCTTAGGGGCTAGTTTTTCTCTTTTCCTTTGGTCCTTTTTACTTCAGTTCATCAGAGGGGCTGTGGTTCTGGGCCTCTTTGCCCTTTGGAAGCGCACAATGTGGACCAGACAATTTCACTCTGTTCTTGAAGCTATGACTTTGCCCACCACCAACGGGAAAGCAAACTGCTCAGGAGCGATGCCTTTGAAATGCCAACTTGAAGACAAGATTCATTCCGGGCAGTGCACAAAATCGAAACTGAAGTTGGACCAAGCACAGATGTTCTTAAGCTGCTTTTCTATACCCTTCTCTTTCTTTTCCTCTCTTTGCTGATGGCTGAAAGATGGGAAGATGGATGCCTACAGCAAATACTATTTTTAATAGAAAATTGAAGTGTGTATTTTTCTTACTAATTTTTTTTTTTTTAATTTATTCCTTCCTGAAGTCTTAAGATGTTTCCTATGGGGCAGGTGATGGTGTGAGCGGGTAGAAGGGGGGCTGCGGCCGCTCTGCGGTGGAGTTTCTCTAGTGAACACACCTAACCAAAGCCACTTCCCCATCTGCCTCAGTGGCATGCTGCAGAGACCCTGAGGGGGGTTGTATTAAATAAATTTGATCTTTACTCTTTCTAGATCTGTGCAATGTCATCTTCTGAGAGGCCACGTGCAAGTAGAACCTCTGCAGTGTTCTAGGACTTCAGGCCTTTCCCAACCACAGAGAGAACCAAGCCAATCTCATCAGCACAGCCCAGGGCCTAGAGGTAGCTGGAGCCTCAAACACGGAGTCATTAAAATCCATGTCAACTGGTACTTCAGTGTTTGCGTCCCAGCTACGCTGTCCCTGGCAGATAGGGTTGTCAGATTTAGCAAAAAAAAGAAAAAGAAACAGGATACAAGTTGTCCAGTTAAATTTGAATTTAAGATATGCAACAAGTCACTTTTTTAGGATAAATGTATCCCATGTAATATTTGGGACATATTTATACCAAAAAGGAAACCCTGGTGGCGTGCGTAGTGGTTAAGTGCTATGGCTGCTAACCAAAATGTCGGCAGTTCGAATCCACCAGGCACTCCTTGGAAACTCTATAGGAAATCTCTGTCCTATAGGGTCACTATGAGTCAGAATTGACTCGACGGCAGTGGGTTTGGTTTTTGGGTTTTTATACTAAAAAAGTATTCATTGTATATCTGAAATTCAAATTTAACTGGGAATCCCATATTTTACCTGGCAACCCGACCCGTAAAGCACTCTCCTGCCCCCTAAGCCTCGGGACCCACCCTCTCACCTCTGCCAGAGGCCTCGGACCTCTCTCCTCCCACACCCAGTCCCCTTCAGACCATGACCCCACGGGGCCTAAAGGTCAGAAGGAAACTTGAGGGTTTATCCTGGCCCTGCCAGATTCCAGCCATGGAAACTTGAAAGAGCCTCTCAATCTCTGAGTTTCGGTTTCCTCATCTCTAAAATGAGAAGATTGAACATCCTAAAATGTTATTTCAGAGCCCTTTGAAAATAAAATGAAAGTTATAGACCCCACACCCCACATACAATGCACACCCCACACATAGAATTATGTCACACAATTATCATACAGCTTCCAAGTTTTAAGGGTTTTTCCCTGGTTGGAGTCAATTTAGATGATCTCTAAATTAACCAGTCAGCAAGGTACGCATGGGTGTAATTGTGTTTACTTACTAATCTGGAGTGCACAATTTCACATAGGTTTCACCACATCAACCTGCGCACTCCAGATTAGTTAAGTAAGCACAAGTAAGCCCGTGCGTACCTTGCTTATTGGGTAAATCGTCCCTTCCTCTAATGACCTTCAAGTCTAATACTTGACTTGTTGATGATTTGGGGAGAACCCAGAGCCCCTATGTCAACTCCTCAGCCTCTTGCCACCACCCTAGCGTCATGGAAGCTGGGAAGACCCTGTTCCTACTACTTAGGCCCTATTTATCAAGCATATGGGAGTCTTCCATTTTCCCTCTGCCTACATTTCTGAGAAGGAAACCACACACACAGAGATCTTCTTTAGTAGATTCAATGGCTGAAATCTCTCTAACCCAGGACCCTGGCTTCAGCTGTCCAAGGACGTGGGCCGCTGGCCTCACCAAGGGTCTAAGGCTGAGCTCAGCACCTAAACCAGAAAGTCCACCCCGCCTTTTCCCAGAGAGGCCGTTTTTCTCGACAGTAACTTGTTAGTTAGAGCTCCCTCTTGTGTCCTCACAATGTAATGGGTCGTTAAAGGCCTTAAGATGCCGCTTGTTGAACACGCAGTAGAATTTTTTCCCTTCTTCTGAGGAGTCACAAGAGGTCAGCCATCCTTTTCACGAGTTTATGCTGAGTGCTCCATCAGTGTTAACTGACTGACTACCTGAATCTCACTCCCTGACGTGGACTCAAGATGGGCAAAGTGACTTCCTGGCCAAGGCTCATTCATTAAAGCACTGGTTCTCAACCCGGTGATTCTCCCCCCACTCCCAGGGGATATTGGGCAACGTCTGGAGACTTTTTTTTTTGTTCTTAACGACTTGGAGGTGCAGTGCTACTGGCATCTAGTGGGTAGAAGCCAGGGATGCTCCTAAAAATCCTGCAATGCATAGACAGTCCCCCACAACAAAGAATGGTCCAGCCCCAAATGTCAACAGTGCCAAAGTTGAGAAACCCTGCCTTAAAGCATTCAGTTATTCACTTATTTACTCAGCGAACTCAAAGCTATAGGGCTCTGGGTGCCAGGCACTGCACTGAGTGTTGGGGATGGAGAGGTTGTAAGAAGCACATGGCTCCTGCCCTCCTGGAGCGTACTGTCTAGTAGGGTTACAGATGAGTGCTATGGTAGGAAAAGCATCCCAGAAGAAGTTGGGTCTAACCAAAGACCTGAGGATAGGTAGACATAGCCAGATGAAAAAGGCAGGGTGAAGATCATGGGTGACAAAGGAAAGTGCACCAAGACAATGAGGCAAGAGAGAGGATGGTACCCTCTTGACAGCCTGTTGGGCCCCAGGTCCCTTCCAACCCATGGCATCTTCAACATGCTGCCGTAGTCCACTGGGGATTTCTGCTGGACTCCCATGCACCTGCCTCAGTTCTTGAGTCTGAAGGAGGTCTCTGGAAGTTGCCCAATGAGAATTCAGCTCCTGCGCACAGATGTTTTTAAGACTCTCCTCCAGTGTCATTAGCATACTGGGGAGAAAACCACCGCATAGACCTGACTCAGCCCTTGACTAAGACTACGGGGCTCAAGTGAAAAGGTGAACTGAAGGGTTAATTCAGAAAAACCTCCTCAGCTGAGGTTCTCTGCCTCTGTCCAAGGTTTGTGTAGAGGGGTGGGGAGGTCTGTCAATCACCTTGGAGTAGGTACCAAATGTTGTAGGGTATGCAATTTTCTGAGGAGATAGTCCATAGCTTTTGTCAGTTTCTCAAAGGATGACATGATCCAAAAAGCATTAAGAACTTCTTATCTATGGTTTGATGTCAGTTGAAAACCCAAAAATAGTGGTTAACCCATTACTGCTCAAAGGCTCTACTTCATGGACAATTTTAAGTTTGATATCCCCAGCAGGACTTGGATTGCCTTGAAAAAATTGCTCAGAATAAGGAAACAAATGGTGATTTCAATGTTAGAAAGAGACAGCTTTCATCTCTCCAAAGTAGTAAGCTATTAGATTGTTTGGGAATGCCAAAGAACGGGCACTAAATGTATTGAAAACTTCATCGTCCAAGGTATTTCTAAACCCTGAATTGTCCCTTCATACAGATTTCACAATGCAACGGGAAATGAACCTTTATTTTACAATAAACTTTGACGATAGAAAATAAAAATGATTTCAGTGTTCACAGAGGATGAAGGATGCTGGAAAGCAAATTAATTTTTGTATTGGAATTTTAATGTAATTAATTTTTTTGTAAGCAGTTTTAGGCTTACAGAAAATTTGCACAGAAAGTAGAGAATTCCCATATATTCCCTCACCCCCCTGCACACAGTTTCTCTTCTTATTAACATCTTGCAGTAGGGTGGTACATTTCTTACAATTCATGACCAATATTGATATGTTATTATTAACTAAAGTCCATATTTTACACGACAGTTCACTATTTGGGTTGTACATTTTATTGGTTTTGACAAACGCATAATGTCATGGATCCACCATTAATGTATCCTGCAGAATAGTTTTACTGCCCGAAAGTAAATTTTTTTTTGTTATTTTTTTTTTTATTGTACTTCAGGTGAAGGCTTATAGAACAAATAGTTTCTCATGAAACAGTAGTACACATATTGTTTTATGACATTGGTTAACAACCCCACAACATGTCAACCCTCTCTCTTCTCAACCTTTTTTTTTTTTTGGTGACAATATACATAGCCAAAGATACACCATTTCAAAAATTTCTACATGCACAGTTCAGTGACATCGACTACGCTCTTCCAATTGTGCTGCTATTCTCACTTTAGATGAAGGCTTACAGAACAAAATAGTTTCTCATTTAACAGTTACTACACATGTTGCCCTATGACAATGGTTAACAACCTCACAACACATCAACACTATCCTTATTCAACCTTGGGTTCCCTATCACCAGCTTCCTTGTCCCCTTCTGCCTTCTGGCCCTTGTCCCTGGACTGCTGTGCCTCATCAGTTCCATTGGGTTTTATAGGGCTGTCCACTCCCCGGCTGAATGGTGAACCTCAGAAATGACTTCACCACTGAGCTAAAAGGGTGTCCAGGGGCCATACTCTCGGGGTTTCTCCAGTCTCCTTTAGGCCAATAAATCCGGTCTTTTTTTTGTGAGTTAGAATTTTGTTCTACATCCTTCCCCAGCTCTGTCCAGAACCCTCTGTTGTGATCCTGGTCAGAGCAGTCACCGAAAGTAAATTTTTAAAGAAAGTTAAAGGCAAGTTGAAGACGGGGCCACTAGTCATCTCTTGCAGCCTGGAGTGTCTCTCCTGGGAACAAAGGAATTGACCGAGATGATCTCGTGTCCTTGCGGCTCCGACCTTCATGTTTCTACGATGTCCGTGTCGATAGGCAGGTGTCACGGCGGTGGGTCAGCCCCAGATAACACCGTCTTCTCACGGCCATCTCTTACGCCTTCTCGAGCTGCGCTTTGCTCTCTTGCGCTTTGTGTCTCTGCGTCTCTGAATTGTTTCTGTGTTTCTTTTTTCCGACCTTCTTCAAAGTTCACCCTGCCTCTCATCTCTCCTACTTCCTCTGTTTCCTCCTTTCCTTTCCTTTTTCACTTCCATTTTCTCTTTTTCTTCACCCTTTCTCCTCCTCCCATTAATTGGCCATAATACAGAGCTGAAGTTTATATATATATATATATTATCCCAAGATGAGTCTTATATTCCCAGCTATTTATTTTGAAAGCCAATACATAAGATATTTTCTATTATGAGATATATTCTCTCTACTTAGGATAAACAATGCCTCCAAAAGCCTGCAAAGTTGCTTTTTACCTGTATTTGACCCTCTGTGGATTATTTTTCCAAAGGTTTATTGGATTCATTTGGAAAAGTCCCCTGTTGCTGCCTTACTTCCTCCCAGTCCTGAGATGTGCTGGTTTTCCTGGAACCTCTTGGCATAAGAGGGTCCTGGTTTAGTGCCAGAAACTGTTCCCTTAGTTCCT